CTGCACCCACATGGGGCCTACATTGACCTGAACAGCCCTTTCCCGTGATTCTCAGATGTATTGCTGCATTGATTAAAAGTGACCACACCATGACACTCTTCCCTGCTTCCCCACCCCTGCCTTCACTAACTGAACAGTGGAACTCAGTACTAAAGGCAGATACCCAAATCCACTGGGGTTACCACTAGGGACTTCATCAGATGGGCAGGAAGGAAGCAGGGGAAAGCATTGGGAAGAGTAGGGAAACTATCTTACCACATTCTTTTCTGGCAAGGTCCATCTTCAGATATGGCCAGCAATTCCATGACCTTTTCCTGTCTTCTTTTCGCTTTCCCTTGCTTCTTCCAGCTTTCTGGAATCAGGAGTCTTCTCTCCCTTGTAGCATGCTGGCAAAACGGACTCCCACGGGCAGCCACCAGAAGTGGCAATGCACCATGGAATGGCTGCCATGGAACTCTTGTTTCACCAGCATGCGAAAACAGAGAGAAAACAGGGGGAAACATCCCTGTGATGAGGTCACTAACTCCCCATCCCACAGCTCATGCCATCAAGGAGGCAAAGCAGGCCTTTTCTTTTCGGTCCCCAAAGAGGCCAATGGAATGACAGCAGTCGCACAGTTAACAGGTGAAGCAGGGCAGGAGGAGGCAGGGAAGGGCAAGTTCCAACTCCATTATTAGGAATGTACAAACCTCACTGTGTGTTCACAATGTCCCTTAGTCGCAACAAGTTAGCAGTACCTATGCAGACATCAAATAATTCACAAATAATCAAATCACAAAAGTGAAATTCGTTAACATGGAGGGCTCGCTTTACAATATAGGGAGGACTTCTAAACAACCCCAGTCATGGCAGGTGTTAGAAATTTCTTCTTTACACATATTGTTGCTTCATAATGGAAATGGACTCACGGTTATATTTATAATATCTTTTTATTTACAATCATATGAGCACAAACATTTGAATATAGCAATTTCCTAAAACAAGATGTGACAATTGCCACTGCTTTGGATGCTCTAGCTCAGTGGTTCTCAACCTGTGGACCGTGGCCCAGTAGTAGGCCGTGAGAATGAAAATCTGGTCCACAAATCTCCTTCCTTTTTTTATTTCTTTTATTTCTGCTCATTACCACAGAGCTGACCATAGAATCATAGAATCATAGAATCAAAGAGTTGGAAGAGACCTCATGGGCCATCCAGTCCAACCCCCTGCCAAGAAGCAGGAATATTGCATTCAAATCACCCCTGACAGATGACCATCCAGCCTCTGTTTAAAAGCTTCCAAAGAAGGAGCCTCCACCACACTCCGGGGCAGAGAGTTCCACTGCTGAACAGCTCTCACAGTCAGGAAGTTCTTCCTCATGTTCAGATGGAATCTCCTCTCTTGTAGTTTGAAACCATTGTTCCACGTCCTAGTCTCCAGGGAAGCAGAAAACAAGCTTGCTCCCTCATCCCTGTGGCTTCCTCTCACATATTTATACATGGCTATCATATCCCCTCTCAGCCTTCTCTTCTTCAGGCTAAACATGCCCAGCTCCTTAAGCCACTCCTCATAGGGCCCCACCCCTTTTGGTACTAATGTTGGAGAGTGGTCCCTGGTCAAAGTGGTCTCTGTTCAAGTGGGCCCTGATCAAAATGGGCCCTGGTCATGTGAGCTTTTGTCAATAAAAGGGTTGGGAACCACTGCTCTTGCTAGACAATTTGTGTGTTATCATTAACGTGTGTAGACACAATTCATAAGTTTAGTGCAAGTCTCAAATTTCCTTCTTTGCCAAAAGTAAAATTATAGCAGTTTCTCTGACCCCTACTTCAGATCCTTACTACAATTGTCCACTGAGATCTTATTATTTATCCTGTATTCTAACTTTACACCCTGTAAACTACCTTGGGTTTGGCAAGATTCAGGTCTCAAATGTAAACATTAATGGCTTTAAAAATTCCAAATTTTAAATAATTTCTTTTTATTAAATAAATTAAATCACAACTCATTGTTTCTGGAAAGTTCTGAACACTTGGCATAGCCAAATCCCAAACATTTAATTCAGAAGCAAGTACAATATTATCTGACAACATAACCAAGTAATCCCTACAGCCTTCATCTTCATAATAACATATCTTGCTTTGAATCCTTGTTTGTGTGCATATAGTAGAACAAGGTTTTAAGTAGCTAGAAGTCTGTAATACAAAAGACAAGTATGCTACACCCACTTGAAGATTATACTTTTATGATCTTAGCTTGCACGCAAGGCTCTATTTGGCTGGAAATCAGTACCTTTTAGGAAGCATGTATTATGCATGCTTTCTCAGTAACTATTCACATTCAAAAAAGAAAAATGTAAGCTTAATTAGTCTTTTTCTTCATTGTTTTATCTGACAATCAACCTGACTGAAAAAGTACTGAACAGCACATCTTCCAGCCCCATGGTTCTTCTGGGTGGCTCTTTTAATTTCTCCTCCCCTTCTTATTTGATCACTGCTCTCTTGTGTCCCAGATTTCCCTGTCAACCATTACCAAGGTTGTTCTGTTTGCAGCAACTCCTTCAGCAACTGCTCAGTTCACTCAATGATAATTCACTTCCTTATATTGGAAGGCGGGCTCCATAAGTAATATCACATAGGTTTTTTAATGCTGTATGCTTTGATATTGTTATTGTTTATTGCTTATTGTGTATTTTCTGTTTTTGAGTTTATTTTAACTGTTTTGTATTGATTATTGTTATTGCTTTTGTTTATTGATGTGCTGTGGGCTTGGCCTCATGTAAGCCGCACCGAATCCCTTGGGGAGATGGTAGCGGGGTACAAATAAAGTTTTGTTATTATTTATTATTATTTATTATATCCCTTCATGTACAATACAGATTAAAATTAGGCATTTTTGCATTCAAAATCAAAGTTTGGGTTCTTGTTCAAGAGGAATTAATACTGAGGCACCGGCCCTTGATTTTTGTCAGCTACAAGATATCTGCAAGTCTCTAAATGATTTTATTACTCATCACAAACATATTTTTGGAATTAATGCACTATACTAGACTAAAGATTAGTATATTCTTTAGGGGGGCTACATATTTTCCTCTGCGCCCATTACATTTTTAAAGCTTTGTTACATCAAGTTTTCTTCCTCCTTCCAACCCTTCCACTCGTGAATGCAATTCAGTGCTGGCAAACTCCTCTTGGTTGCATTGTATAAAAGCATGGCAACAAATACTCTCATGTTAAAAACCTGAGTACTGTATACTGTTTCAAATAAATAATGTATAAAGAATCTGCTTTGCTCCTATTGCATAAGGAAACAATTTGAACAAGTATTCACCATACACTGCTTGTTTACTTGCTCTTTGCTAACAGCTGAAAAGAAAATCACACTAGCTTTTAACTGATGCAATTTTGTTACCAGCAGATATTTAAAAATTAGTTGAGAAATAATAAGTAACTCAAACCCATTGCTCTCTTAAGCAAAATGTAGCTCTTCTGTGTGTGTGCCATCTTTTGAACAGCCATAGCCATTTAATGCATTCAATGACTTCCTGCTCAGATGCAAAAGCAATATCTTACCTGATGCCAGAGGCTAACTGAATTGTAAGTGCACGCTGTACTAGAAAACAGTTCTGGGCAGAAGCCCTCCTCTTCCCTTCCCCCATCCCCAGCATCCGGTTCCAGGCAATGACTAGATGAGATCACAAAAGGCAGCTCATCTGTAAAGCTGTCATATGCTTCCTTCATCGAGTCAGCTTCCTCTTTCATAAAATGCTGGATTCTTTCAAAACCACTCAAAGATTTTTTTATTAGCATTGCAACCAATGCAGTTCACTTCCAAGAAAGCGGCTATGACTAGGACGCCTCCCACATGCACAAAATGAACAATTTGGAAGGATGCTTTCCACAAACAGCCTGATATGTGTCGCTTCTGAGAAGCCATTTCTCTGACCAAAGACTACATTAAAAAACATATATACCTATGTTATTTGGGGGGGGGGGTATTTTTAAAGTCTCATTTTACAGTAATCTAAAAATATATTATGACCTTAGATTGGGGGTGTTATACTTAAGCTGTAGGAAAGATTGGAATACAAAAGGCTCAATTTATTATTATTATTATTATTATTATTATTATTATGGGGTGTTTATACATGTAGGAAATATTGAAATACAGAAGGCTCATATTATTATTATTATTATTATTATTATTATTATTATTATTATTATTATTATTATGGGGTGTTTATACATGTAGGAAATATTGGAATACAAAAGGCTCGGATTATTACTCTTTTTTTGCACAAACCACACACACCCTTCAATTGGCTGGATTGTTTTTACAAAGGCATATACACACAAAAGCCTGCGCCATCAGAAATATGTGGACAAAGGAGAATCGAGATAGTTGGAAGAGATGGATAGGAAGAATAACAAAACAGAGAGGCAAGGCCCTCTTCAGGCACCTCTGAGGCCCCTTCTACACTGCCATATAATCCAATTCAAAGCAGATAATCTGGATTTTATATGGCAGTGTAAAAGGGGCCTGCCTGGGTGTATTTTCTGGGGTCCCATCAGCACTGCCATATAACATCCAGTTTCTGAATGCAGTGTAGACTCATATAATGCAGTTCAAAGCATCCTGAAACTGGATTAGGTGGCAGTGTAGATCCAGGCTGGATGGGGGGGAAAAGGCTCCACCTGGGTGCAATTTGGGCCGTCCCTCCTCTTACACCCACAGCCCTTGCAGCCTTCCCTGAGTCTCAAGAGAGGAAAGCCATTGGAGACGCAACAGTGGTCACAGAAGAGAACAAAAAGGGAGATGGGAAGGGCAGGTCCCACTCTTTAACAGCCACAACAACGTCGGCCGGGGTGCTGCAGACACCCGCCTCCGGGGAGGGAAGGAGAAGGGAAGGGGCGGGGGCGCACAAAGGCCTGTACTGGCGGCGCTCTTTCTTCCCGAGGGAGGCACAGGGGACATCCCACCCATCTGGGCAAAAAGGGCCTTGGGCCCGGCGCAGCATCACTCACCCCGCTCGGGAAGCCACAAGACGCGCCCTTGACTCAGAGGCCCACCATCTTCCCTCTCCAGAGCAAGGAGAAGGGAAGGGAGGGGGAGGGGCCCGGAGGGAGGGAGGGAAGGGCGCGCGAGGACCCTCCCCCTCTCTCTCTCTCTCTCTGAGTCGCGCGCGCTTCTGTAAACCGTTCTAACGTTATTCCCAGCGTATTGCGCGGCTAACGGCGCGGCGCAGGCGAGAAGAACTACTGCGCAGGCGCTGTCTCCTGACTGACACACAAGCGCGCGCGCGGGCGACACTCGCGCACATAGCCACAGGCGGGGGGGGGGGGACAAAATGCTTTGCCCCCGAAATAAGCTAGTGCGCAGGCGCAAGGCGGCTTGAGCTATCAAATTCTTTGTAGACAATAGAAAGAGGCAGAGAAAAGAACAAAACCAAACAAACGTTTGGCCATGAAATAGTTCGTGTACTGGTTGAAGAGCAGCTGAAATGGAAAATAGAGATATCTGTTCTTCTGAGATGGTTAGAAATTATCAGTCCTGCTAAAAATGATCAGTCCTGTTGTGTTACGATTACAAGAAAAGACTCAAAATGCAGTCAAAGTAATTGGCACAAACAGGGTTAACCTCTTCCACACAGCTATATAACCCAAAATATCATGGCAGAAAATCCCACAATGTCTGCTTTGAACTGGGTTATCTGAGTCTGTGCGGGGCTTGATGAATGCAAAGCTGGGGTAAAAATTGCTGGAAGAAACATTAACAACCTCAGATATGCAGATAACACCACTCTGATGGCCGAAAGCGAGGAGGAGCTGAGGAGCCTTCTAATCAAGGTGAAAGAAGAAAGCGCAAAAGCTGGGTTGCAGCTAAACATCAAAAAAACCAAGATTATGGCAACAAGAATGATTGACAACTGGGAAATAGAGGGAAAAAATGTGGAGGCTGTGACAGACTTTGTATTTCTAGGTGCAAAGATTACTGCAGATGCAGACTGTGGCCAGGAAATCAGAAGACGCTTACTTCTTGGGAGGAGAGCAATGTCCAATCTCGATAAAATAGTAAAGAGTAGAACATCACACTGGCAACAAAGATCCGCATAGTCAAAGCCATGGTATTCCCTGTAGTAACCTACGGATGTGAGAGCTGGACCTTAGGGAAGGCTGAGCGAAGGAAGATAAATGCTTTTGAGCTGTGGTGTTGGAGGAAAGTTCTGAGAGTGCCTTGGACTGCGAGAAGATCCAACCAGTCCATCCTCCAGGAAATAAAAGCCCGATAGGAAACTAGAGACAAAGTTGAAGTACTTTGGCCACATCATGAGGAGACAGGAAAGCCTAGAGAAGACAATTATGCTGGGGAAAGTGGAAGGTAAAAGGAAGAGGGGCCGACCAAGGGCAAGATGGATGGGTGGCATCCTTGAAGTGACTGGACTGACCTTGAAGGAGCTGGGGGTGGTGATGGCCGACAGGGAGCTCTGGCGTGGGCTGGTCCATGAGGTCACGAAGAGTCGGAGACGACTGAACGAATGAACAACAACAAAGTAGATAATGTGGGATGTTATTCAGCTGTGTGGAAGGAGCCTAAGCCTTCCACACAGATGAATAACATCCCACATTTTCTGCTTTGACTTGGAATACATGGCAGTGTAGACTCAGATAACCCAGGGCCCGTCCACACAGTCATATAACCCAGGATATCAAGGCAGAAAATCCCACAATATTTGCTTTGAACTGGGTTTGTTTTTTGGGATTTTAAAAAAATATTTTGAAGCCGTGTTTAGTTGAATCCATGACATCAGAAGACCACACATCTGGTAAGAGTCACACATCTGGATAGGAGGGCTTTAAGTGTTGGAGATATTAATGGCCCAGCTTCTTACTGTGGGAAAATAAGCAACTAGAAGGAATTATCTTTGACACTACTCCACAGTCAATTAACCAAGATGAAGTTGAACTCTTAACAAATGTGAGAAAATAGATCACTGAAACCTGGTGGGACAAATCTCATGATTGGAAGGTAGTAATAGAGGGATATATTTTTCTGAGAAACAGATCAAACAAGAAAGTAAGATGAGTCACATTATATAATCAAGGATATTATACCTGTGAAGCCAAGATGAGAGCATGTGGAGAAAAAATTAAAGTGAGAGAAGAGGGAGGTCATTGTGTAATTGTGGGGGTCAAAACTAACAAAATTAATTTGAACAGGCAAAAATGTACGGTACTACACTTGGGCAATAAAAATCAAATGCACAGATATAGAATGGGTGACACTTGGCTTGAAAACAGTACATGTGAAAGGGATTTAGGAGTCATAATACACCACAAGTTGAACATGTGTCAGCAGTGTGGCACCTAAGAAAACCAATGCGATTCTAGGCTGCATCAACTGGAGTACAGTGTCAAGAAGTTGACAAGAAAGAAGGAGGATGAGATGCATTGTATATCAATAATGTTTACACCTTGTGTGGACATCTGTGACATAAATCCTGAAAGCCAGGATTTATGTCATGGAAACAACAGGGATGTGGTTGTGGTGGTCTACTACAGGCATTCAACCCAGACTGAGAACTTAGACGATAGCTTTCTAGATTAGATGACCAACGAGAAATATAGTAATAATGGAAGATTTTAACTATCCTGACATTTGTTGGAAGACAAACTCTACCAAGAATGTGAAGTCTAACAAACACCTCCTTTTAGACAATTGTATCATCCAGAAAGTAGAAAACGCAACTATTATGATCCTAGCCGACAATGATTTCCTGGTGCATGGGGTGAAAGTGGTGAGTTCCTTAGGTGGAGTGATAATATTCTCCTGATTTCTTCTATATAGCAGAGAAAGGAGAAACAAGCCACTCTGAGTCCCATTAGGGTTAGAGGAGTGGGATAGAAATGTAGTGAATAAATAAATAAATGGGGTTGGACTGAATGGCTCTTGGGGGTCTCTTCCAATTCGATGGTAGCTGTGGCAACACCCACGTTCTAACTGCCAATGCACACACACATACACACTTTATTTTTATCTCGCCTTGCTCCTGAAATAGGGATGTTAGTATGAATATAAAAATTAAAACAATGAAATCTTTGTCATTAAATTCTGTTTTATTCTATTCTATTTGTTATGGATCAACTCCTTTGGGCTTTGTGCAAATCTACCAAAATATAGGATCCTGTGCTTTTCTTTTCCATTTCTGAACAAATAGTTAACCCATCGAGTACGAGGTCTTCCCAAGGCTGTTTGTGGCCTCTTGGTATCCAGCTGTCACTAAATATAAAAATCAAAACACAATTAAAATTATATTTTAAAACCTGGCAGCCCTCCTCCCCAACACGATTAAATTTGTCATTCATTAAAAAATATAGGTGCCACAAAGTGGTAGTAAAATTTATTGTTTGGTGGTACAGTGGGTTAAACTGCTGAGGTGCTCAACTTGCTGACCGAAAATTTGGCAGTTCGAATTCGAGGAGCAAGGTGAGCTTCTGCTGTTAAGCCCAGCTTCTATCAACCTAGCAGTTAGAAAACATGCAAATGTGAGTAGATCAATAGGTAACATTCTGACGGGAAGGTAACGGTGCTCCATGCAGTCATGCCAGCCATATGACCTTGGAGGTGCCTACAGACAACGCTGGCTCTTCGGCTTAGAACGGGAGATGAACACCAACCCTGAAAGTTGGACATGACTAGTCTTAATGTCAGGGGAAATCTTTACCTTTACAAACACATTTTTATCTCACCTTTCTCCCAAAAGAGGGACTCAAGTGAATATTATACGATACAATACAAATTAAAAACAAGGCATGTTAGTATGAATATAATTTTTTTAAAAAAACAATGAAATATTTGCCATTAAATTCTATTCTATTCTATATGTCATGGATCGTCTCCTTTGGGCTTTATGCAAATCTACCATTTGCCAAAATATAGGATCCTATGCTTTTCTTTTCAATTTCTGGCCAAATAGTTTAACCATTGGTTTCTCCCATCAAATGCGAGGTCTGCCCCTTGGTGGCCTCTTGGTGTCCAGCTGTCATTAAATATAAATATTAAAATACAATTCAAATTATGTTTTCAAACTAGACAACCCCCGCCCCCCAACATGATTAAGTTTGTCATTCGTTGAAAAATAGAGGTGCCACAAAGTGCTTCACTATTTATTGGTTGATATAACATAGGAGCCTCCTGTGGCACAATGGGTTAAATCCTTGTGCCAGCAGGACTCTTGACTGACAGGTCAGCAGTTTGAATTCAAGGAGAGCGGGTTGAGCTCCCTCTGTCACCTCCAGCTTCCCATGCGGGGACATGAGAGTAGCTCCAACAAGGATAGTAAAACATCAAACAACTGAGCGTCCTAGCAGATGGCCAATTCTCTCAAGTCGCTCCTGACATGTAACAAAAACAAAAATACAGGCATGGGCAAACTTGGGCCCTCCCTCCAGGTACTTTGGACTTCAACTCAAACATAATTCAAAAACATGGGAATATGGAAATTAAGAATTCTAATTAACCTAAACGGTTTACTAATGTAAAAATAATGATGTATTCAGTTCAGAAACAGTTTGAAAGCTTCAGCGTTATTGAGTAAGGGCGCATCAACACTAGACATGGGCAAACTTGGGCCCTCCCTCCAAGTGTTTTGGACTTCCAACATCCGCAATTCCTAACAGCCTCAGGCTGTTTCCTTTTCCCCCTCAGCCGCTTAAGCTGAAGGTAATAGTATGAAAGCTGGGTCCGGAAGCTCTGTTTCCGCTTCGCTCTTTCAGGAACGCTGTTTGCGCAACGCAGACCAGAACACAGATATTAAAGAGGGAATGTAAGAGTTCTTTAATGGTAAAACCCTAATCATTACCCTAACCCTAAGCCTATCCCTTAACCCTAATCCTAACCCAAACCCTAAACCTTACCCTAAATTTATTTATTTAGAGCTTTTATAACCCGGTCTTCTCGACTTCTGAAGAAGGACTCAGGCCGGTTCACAACAGAAGATTCATAGACAATAGTATAAAAACATCACACCTCATAATACACTAATCCATAAAACACATTAAAATACAATCATATAATTACATAAGGCCAGGTCGTCAGAGTGAAATCACAATTCATCACCATCCGTCAGTGTGGTTAAGAGTTATCGACTAAACCAGTGTTTCTCAACCTTCCTAATGCCGCGACCCCTTAATACAGTTCCTCATGTTGTGGTGACCCACAACCATAAAATTATTTTAGTTGCCACTTCATAACTGTAATTTTGCTACTGTTATGAATCATAATTTAAATATCTGATATGCAGGATGTATTTTCACTCACTGGACCAAGTTTGGCACAAATACTCAATACATCCAAATTTGTATACTGGTGGGGGGAGGTGGGGGGGATTGATTTTGTCATTTGGGAGTTGTAGTTGCTGGGATGTACAGTTCACCTACAATCAAAGAGCACTCTGAACTCCACCCACAATGGAATTGAACCAAACTTGGCACACAGAATTCCCATGACCAACAGAAAATACTGGAAGGGTGTGGTGGACATTGACCTTGAGTTTGGGAGTTGTAGTTCACCTACATCCAGAAAGCACTGTGGAATCAAACAATGATGGATCTGGACCAATCTTGGCACGAATACTCAATATGCCCAAATGTGAACACTGGTGGAGTTTGGGGAAAATAAACCTTGACATTTGGGAGTTGTAGTTGCTGGGATTTATAGTTCACCTGCAATCAAAGAGCATTCTGAACCCCACCAGCGATAGAATTGGGCCAAACTTCTCACACAGAATCCCCATGACCAAGAGAAAATACTGTGTTTTCTCATGGTCTTTAGCCACCCCTCTGACACTGTCTCGTGACCCCCCCCCCCAAGGGTCCCGACCCCCAGGTTGAGAAACACTGCCCTAAACCTTACCCTAATCCTAACCCTACCCCAAACCCTAAATCCTAACTTTCCCCTTCTTTCTATCCTTCCACCAATTGCAACGACGAAGTATATTCCCATCCTCAATGTGCTGCTCTCCCTTTCCTTTATTACAACCGCTGTTGTGGAATGTGCGTAAAGCTCGGAGCTTCCGGACCCAGCTATCATACTATCAGCAAGCTGAGTTTGCCCATGCCTGGTATAACACTAGCACCTGACCAGACACAGTGAAGACATCTGCCCTTGCGCTATGCTACTCTGCTGCTGAGTACGGATGCCCAATGTGGAACACATCTAACCACGCTAAAACAGCGGATGTGGCACTTAATGAGACATGCCGCATTATCACAGGGTGTCTGCGCCCTACACCACTGGAGAAATTACATTGTTTAGCCGGTATTGCACCACCTGACATCCACCGGAAAGTAGCAGCCAATAGTGAAAGGACCAAGGCAGTCACATCTCCAGCCCATCCCGTTTGGATATCAGCCAGCATGTCAACGACTGAAATCAAGAAATAGTTTTCTGAGATCTACAGAGACACTTGCTGGAACACCTCAGCAAGCGAGAGTCCAAACCCAGAACCTCAACCAATGGCTGATACCAAATGAGAGACTCCCCCCTGGGCACACAGAAAACTGGGCGACTTGGAAGGCGCTGAACAGACTGCGCTCTGGGACCACGAGATGCAGACCCAACCTTAAGAAATGGGGTTACAAAGTGGAATCCACGACATGCGAGTGTGGAGAAGAGCAAACCACTGACCACCTGCTGCAATGCAACCTGAGCCCTGCTACATGCACAATGGAGGATCTTCTTGCAGCAACACCAGAGGCACTCCAAGTGGCCAGATACTGGTCAAAGGACATTTAATCAACTACCAAGCTTGCAAACTTTGTGTTTTGTTTGTTTGTTAAAAAATGCAACGCAACTGTTTGTTCTGCTCCTGACACGATAAATAAATACCTGAGTGGGAGGAAGTGGGCGGGAACAAAGCTTGCAATGTTGAACTACCATTCCCAGCAAGCATCGCGGCAAAAGCGTCATTTGGCGCAGGTCGAATCCTTTTGCGTGGCATGCTGGGAGGCGTAGGACACTTCCCTGGCAGCGCGAGGCAGTCCCCGCCCACCCGCTCAGCGGCAGGGAGAGGACCGTTTTTGGGTTGCTAAGCAACGGCCTTCTCCCAGGGGACGCCTCCGGCCCCGCCCAGCAGCCCCCCCCCTCCTTCCGCTCCCTGTCAGCGAGGGCGCCGAAGCCGCGCGGACTCCCGCGACAGAGTGAAGGGGGCCTTGGACCGGCCACGTTTCCCAATGCAGGCGTCCCCAGAGCCGGTGGCCGTGGCGGAAAGGGCCGCGGCGTGTAGCCCGAATCCCTTCAGCCCCACGAGGGGGGAGGCCGGAGGAGAGCCCGCCTTGGAGGAGGCCCTGGAGCACTACCACCAGAGTTTGCGCGGTGAGAGAGACACACACAGAGACAGAGACCTCCTGGCTTCCCTTGCTGACTCTTACTCAATACACTGACTTTGGGATACAGAAAACACTCCCATAGCAAAGTCTCGGAGCTTTTTCTTGGATCTCGTTTCCCAACTGCCATGCAAATGAATATCCAGGTGTTTGGTAATGCCGTTAGCCAAGCTGGCTGGGGCTTCTGGGAGTTGGAGTCCAAATCTTTTCAGGGTCAGAAACGGTTTTTAATTGAAGTGGAATTGCCACTGTTAGGAAACCAAATACTCCAAACGTTGGGCCCTTTCACACAGCCCTATGTCCCAGAATATCAAGGCAGAAAATCTCACAATATCTGCTTTGAACGGGGTTATCTGAGTCCACATTCAGCTAATGTGGGATTTTCTGCCTTGATATTCTGAGGTCCCTTCCACACAGCTAAATAAAATCCCACATTATTTGAAGTGGAATATATGGCAGTGTGGACTCAGATAACCCAGTTCAAAACAGATATTGAGGGATTTTCTACCTTGAGTTATATGGCTGTGTGGAAGGGTCCTTTGAGTGTGGTAAATTAGACTGTATGCTAGATAAATGGGTGGTCTGTTGCATCCCAAACTTTGGTTCTCCAGGTGTTTTGATTTTCAGCTCCCAGAATCCCCGATTGTTAGCCAAACTGGCTGGAGTTTCTTGGAGATGAAGTCCAAAAGATTTTTGTTGTTGTTCATTTGTTCAGTCACTTCTGACTCTTTGTGACCTCATGGAGCAGCCACATCAGTGCTCCCTGTTCACCGTCACCACCCCCAACTCCTTCAATGTGAAGCCAGTCACTTCAAGGATACTATCCATCCATCTTGCCCTTGGTCGTGAAGTCCAAAAGACTTTTGTTGTTGTTCATTCGTTCAGTCGCTTCCGACACTTCGTGACCTCATGGAACAGCCACACCAGTGCTCCCTGTTCGCCGTCACCACCACCAGCTCCTTCAAGGTGAATCTAGTCACTTCAAGGATATCATCCAACCATCTTGCCCTTGGTCGTCCCCTCTTCCTTTTTCCTTCCATTTTCCCCAGCATAATTGTCTTCTCTAAGCTTTCCTTTCTTCTCATTATGTGATAGTGACTAGGGAGAAGATTTTCTCAATATTTCCCATAGTAGCCTCACATTTGTGTCTCTTTAGCAACAGATGAACACTTCTTTAAAATGGTAAGTTTTTGTCATGAGACACATAACCAACACTTTTCAGTCTCATCAGAATCATTCAGTTTTGCAACTGCTTCTGTCTTCCTAGTGTGTAACTAAAGAATATAAAAGCCTGTTTGTTTCTGTTGATTATATATACTGTATACGTGCAGTTTTCATTTTGAACCCATTTCTATAATATAATCTTCAAGACAATCTGCTTCTAATCTGTTGCATCCATTTGTTTCAGAATAAGCAACATTTTTCTTGTAGAAAGGGAAAAATGTATGCTATTCTATATTATGTAATGTAAATATTTTTATTTGTACATGTGTGTTTAATAATAGTTTCTGTAACTCTAAATACTAGCTGATCAGTGTTGTTTTAAAGAGGAGGGCATAGTTAGCTCAGCAACATGAGCAAAGAGTGTACAAGTAGATGCTTATGTCATATTTGTTTCTTGTACCACCACCATCTACTACTATCTATGTGGTCATTTGCCAAGGGTTTGAGGATGTGCATTTATTTATTTATTTATTTATTTATTTATTTATTTATTTATTTTATTTATTTAGTACACTTGTATACCGCTAATATCTCAGCCTAAAACGGCGACTCATTGCGGTTTACAATATTAAAAACAACAATATTCCGATAAAAATATAAAACACATACATATACAATACACAGTATTGGGCCACCAATACAGACCAATGCATCTCTTAACTTAAATCATAATCCAATTTCGTTGTCTGTAATTACCAGTCCTTGATCAAAACTTCATCGCATCGGATTAGCCGAATGCTTGCTCAAACATCCATGTTTTCAGTTTTTTTCGAAATGCCATCAGCGAGGAGGCTGATCTTATCTCTATAGGGAGGGCATTCCAAAGCCGTGGGGCCACCACAGAAAAGGCCCTATCCCTCGTTCCCGCCAGCCGCACCTGTGAAGCAGGCGGGATGGAGAGAAGGGCCTCTCCCGAAGATCTTAGGGTCCTGGTGGGCTGATAGGCCGAGATACGTTCGGATAGGTATGTTGGGCCAGAACCGTTTAGGGCTTTAAAGGCCAATGCCAGCACTTTGAATTGGGTCCGGTAGCTAATCGGCAGCCAGTGGAGCTGGTACAGCAGAGGAGTTGTATGCTCCCTGCGCCCTGCTCCTGTTAGTACCATGGCCGCCGCCCGTTGGACTAGTTGGAGCTTCCGGGCCGTCTTCAAAGGCAACCCCACGTAGAGAGCGTTGCAGTAGTCAAGGCGGGATGTAACCAGAGCGTGGACTACCGTGGCCAAGTCAGACTTCCCAAGGTACGGTCGCAGTTGGCGCACGAGTCTTAACTGTGCGAATGCTCCCCTGGTCACCGCCGAAACCTGAGGATCCAGGCTCAGCGATGAGTCCAGGATCACACCCAAACTGCGAACCTGCGTCTTCAGGGGGAGTGCGACCCCGTCTAACACAGGCTGTAACCCTATACCCTGTTCGGCCCTACGACTGACCAGGAGTACCTCTGTCTTGTCTGGATTCAATTTCAATTTGTTCGCCCCCATCCAGACCGTCACAGCGGCCAAGCACCGGTTCAGGACCTCGACAGCCTCCTTAGTAGCAGGTGGGAAGGAGTGACAGAGTTGGACATCATCTGCGTACAGATGACACCGCACCCCGAAACTCCGGATGATCTCGCCCAGCGGCTTCATGTAGATGTTAAACAACATGGGAGACAGTATTGAACCCTGAGGAACCCCACAATGCAAAGGTTGTGGGGTAGAACAGGAGTCCCCCAGTAACACCTTCTGAGACCGACCCTCGAGGAATGACTGGAGCCACTGCAAGGCAGTACCTCCAAGACCCATTCCCGCGAGGCGTCTCAGAAGGATACCGTGGTCGACGGTATCGAAGGCCGCTGAGAGGTCGAGTAGCACCAACAGGGACACACTCCCCCTGTCGAGCTCCCGACGGAGATCATCCACTAAGGCGACCAAGGCTGTCTTGGTACCATGCCCCGGCCTAAAGCCAGACTGTGCCGGATCCAGATAATCCGTGTCTACCAAGAATGCCTGGAGTTGTGAGGCCACCACACGTTCCATGACTTTGCCCAAAAAGGGGAGATTGGAAACAGGCCGATAGTTGACGAATTGAGTGGGGTCCAGTGATGGTTTCTTCAACAGCGGTTTTATCACAGCTTGCTTTAAGCTGGCTGGAAATATGCCTTCCCGAAGGGAGGCATTAACCACCACCTTAACCCACTCGGCCAATCCCCCTCTGGCCTCCTTTAGAAGCCAGGATGGGCAGGGATCTAGGATGCATGTGGTAGCTCTCATTCCTCCAAGCACCTTGTCCACATCCTCGGTTTGAACCAATTGAAATGAATCCATCAAAATTGGACAAGCAGATGCTCGTGTTACATCCTCAGAGACTGCCGTTAATATGGTGTCCAGTCCAGAGCGGATCAAAGCGACTTTGTCTGCAAAAAACCGAGCAAAGGCTTCACAGCGAGCTGCCGAGTCATCAGGGCACCCATCCTGAATAGTGGGTTTTAACAGGCCTCTGACAACTCGGAACAGTTCAGCCGGACGGTTCTTCGCAGACGCAATAGTGGCCGCAAAGAAAGTTTTCTTTGCGGCTCTTATTGCCGCGGCGTATGACCTTAAAAAGGACACAAACCGTGTTCGATTTGACTCGCTCGGATCCGAACGCCACACGCTCTCTAGTTCCCTCTTCTTTCGCTTCAACGCGGCCAGCTCCTCGGTAAACCAAGGAGCTGGTTTAGCTCGGCTACTTGAGAGGGGACGTTCTGGAGCGATCGTGTCTATTGCCCTAGTCATCTCCCCATTCCAGAGAGCAACCAGAGCATCAACAGGATCACCAACCGAGGTGGCGGGAAATTCCCCAAGAGCCATCAGGAATCCCTCTGGATCCATAAGCCTCCTGGGGCGGACCAACTTAATGGGTCCTCCACCTCTGCGGAGGTTAGGGGGTGCAGTGAAGTCTAAAGCTGACCAGGTGGTGGTCGGTCCATGGCAACGGAGAGATGGATAACTCCTCAACACCGCCACCTTCCTCCCATCCCTGACAGAAAACCAAGTCCAATGTATGTCCAGCACTGTGGGTGGGGCCAGATACTTGTTGGGACAGCCCCATGGTCGCCATGGTAGACATGAAGTCCTGAGCCGCTCCCGTTAGGGCAGCCTCGGCGTGGACATTGAAGTCCCCCAGCACAAGCAGCCGTTGGGACTCCAATGCCAGGTCCGAGACCACCCCCGCTAGCTCAGGTAGGGAGACTGTAGTGCAGCGAGGTGGACGGTACACTAGCAGAATCCCTAATCTGTCCCGGATTTAAGCTCAAATCCAACCTTGGCCACATTCCCTAACTCATTCCCTAACTCATTCCCTCTTGTTGAAGTTCGTAGTAACCACCTGAGGGTTTTTTTTTCAGTACTGTAACACTGTTGCATATTTATACCCTGCCTCTCATGGAAGTCACAGAATATAAAGCTGTATCATTTTGCTGCATGGCACTAGGAGCAACATATATCTGGTACAGGGCAAAATGGATCTGTAATTTTGTTTCCACTATGCAAGTCAGCCAGTATTTTTTTTATATATTAGATGTGATTTCTTTTATCATCTGCCTTGTGCTGTATGGTACATTCATTATTATTAATTTATATGCTCATTTATATACTCATGACCTCCTAGGCAACTTCTGGGAGTTCCAATTAGAGTGGGTACAGATGGGCAAAACCCATTTATGCAGTAGTAGAGTAAAATGACATCCTTTATATAAAATGGCAAACTTAAAATTTACATTGAGGAATGTTTTCTATTATTATTATTATTATTATTATTATTATTATTATTATTATTATTATTGTATTGTCGAAGGCTTTCATGGCCGGAATCACTGGGTTGTTGTATGTTTTTTCGGGCTATATGGTCATGTTCTAGAGGCATTCTCTCCTGACGTTTCGCCTGCATCTATGGCAAGCATCCTCTGAGGATGCTTGCCATAGATGCAGGTGAAACGTCAGGAGAGAATGCCTCTAGAACTTGGCCATATAGCCTGAAAAAACATACAACAACCCATTATTATTATTATTATTATTATTATTATTATTATTATTATATTTTAGTTATTGAGATTGTAACATATGCTTCATTGTATATTGTACATTGTATAACATAAATCTTTTAGTTACCAAAATTAACTTCTTGTTACTGTATCACCTTACTCTAATTTTTAACTAAAACGAATCCCCCCTACCTATATGTAGATTTTTGGCACATTTTCAAGCCATGTTTGGTAGAATCCATGGATGCAAAATTTGTGGATATGAAGGCCTGACATTACTATACATTTCTATCTGTCCATTCACAAATCTCTCCAGGGCAACTTGCAATAAGGTTAATTATAAAGGTGGACAACCACTAGCCACCCACACCCTCCAGGATGCTGAATTGTGGTTTTCATCAGATCTACACAACATAATTAATAATGCTGAAGCTGTTCAAAAATATAGAGATGGTCACAAGCTGTTTGCTCTTAGTAAGTACAGAAGGATGGAACTTCACTGGTGCATTACTAGTGTCACTCTGTCCTGCTCTCTTTTGTTCCCTATAGTGATGTCAAAGATGCATAAAAAAAGAAAGGAAAATAGCCATTGTTCTAACCAAAGGACTGCTTTTTTTGGTTAGTTCTCTTAAAGATGCAGCAGTCCTTTTGTAAATACTGTCCCCTATTAAAATGGTAGGCAACAAATGAAAATGATGGGAAGGGAGAGGTTTTTGTTATATTGTTTTTCTCACAAATGTTCAAAGATGTATGTTCCTAATCCATACATTAGGAATCCCCAGTAGTGCAATGCGTTAAATCCTTGTACTGGCAGGACTGAAGACCGACAGGTCACATGTTCGAATCTGGGGACAGTGCGGATGAGCTCCCTCTGTCAGCTCCAGCTTCCCACAAGGATGGTAAAACATCAGAACCTCCGAGCGTCCCCTGAGCAACATCCTCGCAGATGGACAATTCTCTCACACCAGAAGCAGCTTGTCAAGTTGCTCCTGACACGGAAAAAAAAAAAATCCATACATTCCTAGGATGGGTTCAAAATATGTTTCTGAAATGGGCAGCACAAACATGTTATCCTTTGCCCAGATCCCTAGGCTGACAAGTTGTGGTGTTAAAGGTCATCTTATGTATTTTCCTACTCAAGTGTTAATGAATGCATTTTCACACACAAAAATTATATTCTTCACAGATCGTGCTGGCAAGAGCCTCAATCAACTGAAGCATGCCTTGGAAGAAAGAGATATGGCAATGGGAGAAAGCACATTTGACCAGCTATTTGATAATACAGGATATGAAGAGAGTGAGGATAGAGCATGGCAGGAGCTTCAGTACAGTCATGCAGGTTTGAAATTCAGTTTTTAATTTTGCTTCAAATACTATAATCTTACTTGTTAATATATAATGAGTTATTCTTTTCTTTAGTTAATCAGCTTAAAGCTTTATTACGACAACAACAAGAAAAGGAAAGTGAAATGTCCCCTTCAGGGAGGAGAAGAATGTCGCCCACAGTAAGCATTATCTTCTTTTTTCATCCTTGTTAAGTGGACAAATAGTTACATGCCATTTATTTTACCTCTGTTCATAAATCATTTGGATAATTAACAATGGATTAATAGGCTCGTGTAGTACGTTACATGTATTTATTGGTAATGCAAACTTTATTTTGATTTTGAGCTGTATAGCTTCAGTTTAACACTAAAGATCTAGGTTAAATGAACGTAATATGAAAAAGGCTACCATACGAAAGCAGAGGATGGGAAACAGACAAACTGAATTTATTCCAGTTGTGTAAGATGAACTACTTTGAAAAGAGTTTCTGAAACTTAAGTCATGCTAGATGTCTTGCTGCAAAAATAATTATTTATTATTTCTAATGTATTGGACATTTTGAGATACTGGTGAACAATAAGCATGGATTTAGTTATTAAAATTATTTAGATGCATTTCTGCCTATAGAGACCTCCACAGTGATATACAGTCGACCACATGTTACATGATTTTGTGTTATGTGGTTTTGTATTGTTATTATGTAGATTTTTTTATTTTAAAAACTAATTTGAAAGAGGCTAAAAACAAAGCCAAAAGTATGCAAGAATAATACAGTTTTCATTATATGTTGAAAACCAGTAAGAATTATTTCTCTTCAGAGGAAGTTCTGTAACTGAGGTGCCTTCATAAATTATTGAGAAGATCGAATGAAAAACAATGAAAATATTGGATTCTGGGTGGGCTTATACAGAAAAAGTGGTTTTTCAAATCCCACCTTTAATTGAGCTGGGGAGAAAATCATATGCAAGTATAGTTAGTTTATTAGTGGGGAACCTACAGCCTTATAGGTCCTTATGTATAGCCTTTTGACTGTCAAATTAACTATTAGTTATCATTGTTTAAAATTATTATGTACTGTACATGGTAGTTAGATTTTTATAAAGCAATGTGTATTTAAAATAAAGAGGTAGGTCACAACTTCATTGTTTATAGCAGGAGTCCTCAAACTTTTTAAACAGAGGGCCAGGTCACAGTGCCTTAAACTGTTGTAGGACCGGATTAAAACAGTACAATAATTAAAATGGAGAACAGTTTTAACAAATATAAACTTATTAGTATTTCAACGGGAAGTGTGGACCTGCTTTTGGCTGATGAGATAGGGTTGTTGTTGTTGTTGTTGTTGTTGCGTGCTTTCAAGTTGTTTCAGACTTAGGTTGACCCTGAGCGAGGGCCGGGTAAATTACCTTGGAGGGCCGTATTCGGCCCCTGGGCCTTAGTTTGAGGACCCTTGGTTTATAGTTTTAGAAAGGTATGGCACATGTTTGGGTCGTGGTCCGGGCATCACCAACCCACCTGTTGATCAATGGGTCCAACACTCTGGTTTACTACTAGAACCTTTGGAATAATAGGAAAGGATTCACTTAGACAGATGCCATCAGAGGTACAGAAGGGCATCTCTGTCCATCCCTAAGCCAGGTAAAACCCATTCCATTCCACATGTCCCAGATCCCTGAAGGGGAATTCCATGCATTGCTAGTACCAAGGAGACACTGCTAAAAGCTTTCAAGATCCAGACCAACAGTTTCCTGCAAGTTATGACATATAGAATTGACATAATGAAATTGGAAATGAATTAGGTATAATGGTAGGAATTTTTCTCCCTGTCCCACATGCATTCCTCATTTATGTGCATGGGAGAATACTGTTTGACCTCATCATTTTCCCAGAGAGAAAAAGGATGAAGAATACTTCCTGTCATAGAACAGTGACAACAGCAGGATTCTCCTGCTTGCACCTTGCTTTCCCAATTTCAGAGATGACAGAGATGTCATCAGCTGGGAGCCCCTCCTCCAGCACCAACTGCTGCTCTGAGCCAGAGTGAAGGGGGGGGGGCAGGAGACAGTTCCATCTTGTCTCCTGCATATGTCATCAGCTGGGGACCCCACCCCCCAGCACCAACTGCCACTTTGGACCAGAGTGAAGGGGGGGGGGCAGGGGACACTTCCATCTTGTCTCCTGTGCTATTCTAATAATATAATATAATGCAATATAATATATTGTATATACATATAATATTTATAATATTATAATGTAATGCAATATAATACTAATAATAAAATATACTATAATAATATATTTATATTACGTGTAATATTATTAATAATATTACAATATAATGGTATAGTACAATATAGTAATATTTAATACTGATATTGTACTATGCTAGTAATATAATTTATTGTATGTATATATACTTTGTAAGCCGCTCTAAGGCCCCTTTGGGGTGAGAAGGGCAGCATATAAATGTCATAAATAAATAAATAAACTGTACATTTGAGTTTTGTGTGAGTGTAGAATTTCAGGGATGGATGAGACATGCCTGGACCCCTTGGACTGAATTTGGATCTGCCAAACCAGGCTGGTAGACCAGAGATGCCCTTTCGCTGCCATAGAGATTCAACTGTTCTCAAACAGGTTGCTTTTGTCTTATTTCATTGAATCCACCCTTTAACAGAATACCAAACACTAAAAGAAGAAAGGCACATGTACAAAAGGTACACAAATATTAATGAAAAAGCAAGTAAAATGAAAAGAGATGTGACAGAGAGAGAAAATGGTGTTGGCCTAGTTATCCCAAGGAGATCAGCAAATACATACATACATACATACATACATACATACATACATACATATTTGAAATAAAAATAGAAAAGAATTTAATTCCAAAAAAATTATTCCAGTAGAAAACTATATCATGTGCAAATGTAATATGATGCAAATTATTCTTCTTAAAGAGCTTTTTTCTTATATCAACATTGTTTGAAAGAGTCTTGTCTAAAAATTCTTTACTGTCAATACATTTATTTTATTCAGAGAACAGCTCAAGCAGCAGATCAACATTTGCCTGCTCTTGGCGACCTTGTACCCATCATTAATGATCAGTCTCAATATATTAACCACTTGGAGGCAGAAGTCAAATTTTGCAAGGTATTGTAAATAGGATTTAACTGAATTACAGTCTGGTTTTTTGTAAAGTGGATTCCACATGTATCTCAGTTAATGCCTGCATCAATAGCAGTGTTCCTGGGCATTACTTCCCTAACAAAAAATGTGATACCAGGGGCAATACAAGGGCATGGGAAAATATGAGTAGGTTCCTAGATCTCAAGAAAGGAGAGCCAGTAAACATGTTTCATCATTTTATTTTGTATTAAACAATATGTACATATGAAGTGAAACGAGCAGGTCAGGTAAGCCTTGCATAGTTTATGAAAAACATTTTGAATCTTATAGAAACCACTGAAGAGCTTCTTTCAGAATGTACTCAGGAATGATACATTATCCACTTTTAAAATATAATTTCCATTAGATGGTCAAACCTATAGATCTTTGCTTTTTCTAACATGCTAACTCTTCCTGTTGAGCAAGGTTTATCTGTTCTTCCCTATTCCCTTTGCTTTGTGATTATGTTCATGTATGCTCAAGTGGGGGATTTTGAAAACACCTGCTGTTTACATTGCCTATTGTAAACAGGCATGTATTGTTACAGTAGGTTCATCTAGAATAGAATCCCACTTCTTCAAAGATCACACTTCATTGCACTGTTTACTTCAAATATGCTGTTGCAACATCAAAAATCTGTGTTTCTCCAGCCCTTCTTCACTATTCACCCAATGCTGATGCTGTTTTGAAAAGCTTCTAGTTAATGGAGAATGAGGAGGGGTTGTTTGGCCATGAGAACATTTTGTATAAAGGAGCTTTGTTAACGGAGGTATGCCTGTATTATAGCATGTTTGCCTGCATTGCAGAATGTAATTAGTACTTAAAATCTTGACAACAGTTGGACATATCTTACATGCATTTTCATAAATCTGAAGAGAGAACAGACATGGGCAAACTTTGTCCCTTCTTGTATTTTGGACTTCAATTCCCACAATTCCTAACAGCAGGTAGGTCGAAGTTTGCCCATACCTGTGATAGTTAATGGCAGATAGATTCGGACCCCCGATATCCTTCTTTTAAAAATAGATTTTGTCCAAACTAAAACCTCATGTATTCTAAAGATCTTCATGCATTTCAAATAAGAAATTAATTAATCTGACTGCCCATCAAAGGCATAAGTACTATGACACATAAATAACATAAGTAACATATGTCACATTCAAGTTACAACTAAGTGTTTGGAGTTTGATGGCATCCATACATTTATTTCTGTACTTTAGATTCTTCCACTTACTGGTTTTACACCTAATTTACATATTCTGCTTATTTTCCTTTCAGGCATTCATGTACAAACCCACTTACATGGTTCTCATGTATATGCATAGACTTCTCTCTCAGCAAACACTTTTGGGGTGTCTTATTTTTCAGGGGTTTTTTACTGCTGCTGCTTATCTCTTTTCACACTATATATTTCATTTTCTAGGAGGAAATGTCTGACCTCAAATCTCGTATTTGTGTGGTTGTGTTTGAAAATGAGAAGCTTCATGATAATCTGAAAATGCTAACGATGGAGCGCACGCTCAGAGAGCAAACCTTCCTGGATACCACAGTAGGTTTTCTAGGTTTTAATAGGGCTAACTCAAATTGATTATTTGACAGGTGCAGATGGTCATTCACCAAAATTATGGGATAGCCCTTGCAGTGCAGTTCACTCCCCCTTTTCTTAGTGCAGTTAAATTTTATTGCTTCCCCTTTTCCTTTGAGTAGTTTTAGATTGTCTTATTCCACGTAGCCTTTCCAATTTCTGTATCATTTCTGTAGGGCTTTGCAAAAAATCATAAGGGTAATAAATCATGTTTCATTACATCCGATCTGATTTATGACCCCCTCAGAGCCACTCCTCAATTGAACACAAATGAAGCAAAACAACCACCTCTGAGTTTTTGTAAAGAAGTTTGTTTTTGTATGTCCTCTCTCTCTCAATCCATCTCCTTCTCCCTCCTTGTACCTTTGTGGCAGCAGCAGTAGGGCTGCTCTCTCTCCCTCCCTCCCTCTCCCCCACTTCGTTGGCCAACGCCTCGCAGCAAGCCACTCACTTGGTGAAGGGCAAGGCTTCAGCAAGGGCTGCAAGCTGCCCTGGCTGCTCTTCCTCTATCTCCCTGATGGAGGAGGGTTGTGGCCTTTGGTGGAACCTCCCAGATGTGTGGCTGACCATGAGGATGCGGCCTATGGGCAGGATCTGAAACCCTTGCTCTGGAGGCACCCTTCCCCTTCATGCCTGCAGCTCTTCCCAGGCCCAGGGCAGGGCCTGCTTGCATAAGACTGGGCAGCAGAGGGAGAAGAGCTGTCCCAAGCCCCAAGGGGCCTCTTTCGCCAGGTATAACTTAGCTCTTATAGGGGTTTTTTTTTAAAAAAAAAAGGAAAGGAAAAATAGCTAATTTATCTTTACTTTGTATTAGATATGAACCAGACTCCTTAGGAATTGTTCAAAACACTTTAGAATCAAAATGGGGGTCACATGAATAAAGACAAATGAAGCAGTTTTTTTGAGCCATGTGCACCCCTACTGTACCGTGTTAAGACAGAAAGGCATATACATAAGAATAGCCATGGGCAAACTACACTACATATTTCTTACTAAACTAGATAAATCCTGTAATATGGAACTGCACGTGATTAACTAGTTGAGATGTCTTATTAAATATTTTACATAATTTCATAAGAAATATTCTGTATACATTCTATCTGCAATAGCTTTTGTGAAATAGTGAAATCTGTGTACATTGAGCCCTGTAGAGAATTTGGGAGGTGTTAAAAAGAAAGTTAGGGTTAGTGTGGGTTTGGTTTCAAGATGGATGGAAATAGCTGCAAAACAAAAGCAATACTGCGATCAGGAGCTCTCAAACATAATCATCAGTACACTTACCAAAAATGAATGTTACAACATGCCTTTCATGCCTCGTCTTACTCCTTGTAGCTCTACACACCCAATGAAAACTCTTTCTTGGGAGTCATGGAGACTCTTAGGAAATCTCTTGGTTGTGATGCACAGCTGGAGTGCAGATATCTATGCTATTAGCAATGTTTTCCATATAACTTTACATAATATCCCAGTCTGACATATTTGTAATGTAGTAGTTGTGTATGAATGTATAAAGTAAAAACTGAGACAGTTTTTTTTCTTTTCTTTTCAGGCAGCTTCTCAAAATGCTCGTGACATAAGTAGTGCTCATGTTGGTGAAACTGGTATATCATCTCATAAAAACGAGCAAGCTGCAGTAGATGTATTCGAAATGAATAAATGGCAACTTGAGCTGGTCAGTGTCTTCTAAAACGTTTACTGATTCTAGCACTATATGATTGTAGTTATTGTTGTTCCCCAAGTTTCCCTGTTTTCTGATGTAAGGTGGGTGATTACTACATACTAAAGCACCTTGACTGTGTGGAATGCCTTCCAAGTTGCTTGACTAGAAAAAAAAATGAAATCTTATAAAGCATGATCTTTCCTTGGCAATAGTGTTTCATTCTGCAGTGTGTGTTTTCCCTGCTTTTTAAACTCAGTATTGAAGATTTGATATATTGTATACCATCAATGAATACCAGATCCTATAATCTATATGTGAGAGGGAGAAATTGTCATAACTACCTCTGAGTATTCCTTGACTGCAAAAACCCTATGCAATTTATATTGTTGTTTTAAGTCAACAGGTGATTTAAAGCTCTGCTTCCTCACACACATTTCCCACTTTAATATAAACGGTCCTGAGAACACTATGGTCTTTGAAGGAAGAGAATATAAATCTAGAAAACAAATGAGTGATCTAGATCAAAGCCAGAGCACAATGTCCTCCATCCTATTGATAAAATTTCATTCAGTCAATAATAAATTTAGTATCTTTCCAAATTCATGTTTTCTATTTCATTAGATTTTGCTTGAGCGGAAGATTACATGTTAAATCACAAATTTTAAACTTGAGTGTTATGTTTAACCTTTGTTCTGTCTATTTTAATATGTATTTTGTAGAAATATATTTTAATATGTGTATGTTGTAGAATGTTTTGTGGGTTCAAGGAGGTGCCCCCCACAAAACCGGTGGGACTGGATTTCCCCTCCTATCCCGCAGTTTACAAGCAGCTGCCTGCAAACATTCACCTGCTCTTTGTCTCCCTCAATAAAAGCATGCAGTGCTACTCTGCTATCAGTCCAGCCGAGCAGTTCAAAACTTTATTCACAAGTTACTCATGTAGTAGTCAGGAGTCACAGCAAGAGGCTGACAACGAAAGAGAAAGTACACCTCCTAGTATCCTGATTTACAGCAAAACGCTTATCAGCTGTCTTAGTCTGTTAGCCCAGTAAGTGTCTTCCTCTGCCTTTCTGGATACTCACTGTGGCATCATCTATAACTCCAACATGTGTTTAGATTATAATGTGTTTTTTCATGATTGGGTGTTTTTAGTGATGTTATAACCTGCCTCAAGCCATAAGGAGAGGCGGGTAAGAAATAAAATTGTTGTTGTTGTTGTTATTATTATTATTATTATTATTATTATTATTATTATTAAATTGTCTGTCTTTAAAAGTGTGGGAGAAGCTTACTAAGGGAGGTACTATTACTTGTTTACCTTTTGGAGAAATTAACATTTTCTATATTTCTTCAATTCTAAGATGCATTCTTTTTCTATGGGCTTCATCACACTTGTGCATTTTTCCATTTTAAATTCTGTCACTGCCTCTTGCAGAATTCTGGGGCCTGTAGTTTAGGGAAGCCCAGGACTGCTCTGGATGAACAATTTAAAGGCCTCTCCCTAAACTACAAACGACAGAATTCTGCAGGAGGCAGTCACAGCAGTTAAGGTGGATTATCTCTAAAAATGGGAGGCATCTTATGTATTATGTAATTGTATGTATTTTTGTTAGTGGGCATGGTACTGAAATTAGGGGATATCTTACAGTTGAAGAAATATGGTAAATCCATATACATATAGATTTCAGTATGCAAAGACCTGCCCTATACTCAAAAGCATTAAGTTCTGATGAGCTGTGACATCACATTGTGTCCTAAAGCCAGTCTCTTAGATAAAAATGTTTTAGGTAACAGCATCTTCAAGACACAATAGTTTTAAAAGATGCTGGCTAAAATTTCAACTGTTTTAGTGTACAATATTTATATTTTGAGAAAAATCTTGTATCTCTCATATAAAAAATTCCAAAAATGTGGTGTGTCTTTGAATCATGGGTGCTTTTATACATGTATGTAAGTTGGTGGTACTGAAATTAGAATCAAAGAATACAGTACAATTACAAATGCTTTAAATGTATGAATTTTTCTAATAAAAATGTAATTCAAGTTAGTGAAGTCATGACCAGACTTTTTGAATTATTTGAATTAAAATAAGTATTCATGTTGTTTTAAAAGGACAAGCTAAAACGTCTGCATCAAGAAAGAACGGAAGCACTTGAAGCTCAGGTTTTGTCTTTAAGGTAAAAGAATAAAAGGGAAGACAGAAAGGGAGAAAAAAAAGAAAGGCATTTATTTCCCTTTCAGATTTCTATGTTATGCATGAATGATTTTTTTTAATCGTGTTTTAATTAATCAGGACAAATCACCACTCATTTTTCCTGAATTATTAAGAAGTATGAAACTTAATCTGTTGTTGTTGTTCATTCGTTCAGTCGTCTCCGACTCTTCGTGACCTCATGGACCAGCCCACGCCAGAGCTCCCTGTCGGCCGTCACCACCCCCAGCTCCCTCAAGGTCAGTCCAGTCACTTCAAGGATGCCTTCCATCCATCTTGCCCTTGGTCGGCCCCTCTTCCTTTTGCCTTCCACTTTCCCCAGCATAATTGTCTTCTCTAGGCTTTCCTGTCTCCTCATGATGTGGCCAAAGTACTTCAACTTTGTCTCTAGTATCTTCCCTCCAATGAGCAGTCGGGCTTTATTTCCTGGAGGATGGACTGGTTGGATCTTCTCGCAGTCCAAGGCACTCTCAGAACTTTCCTCCAGCACCACAGTTCAAAAGCATCTATCTTCCTTCGCTCAGCCTTCCCTAAGGTCCAGCTCTCACATCCGTAGGTGACTACAGGGAATACCATGGCTTTGACTAGGCGGATCTTTGTTGCCAGTCTGATGTCTCTACTCTTCACTATTTTATCGAAACTGGACATTGCTCTCCTCCCAAGAAGTAAGCGTCTTCTGATTTCCTGGCTACAGTCTGCATCTGCAGTAATCTTTGCCCCTAGAAATACAAAGTCTGTCACGGCCTCCACGGTTTCTCCTTCTATTTTCCAGTTGTCAATCATTCTTGTTGCCATAATCTTGGTTTTTTTGACGTTTAGCTGCAACCCGGCTTTTGCGCTTTCTTCTTTCACCTTGATTAGAAGGCTCCTCAGCTCCTCCTCGCTTTCGGCCATCAGGGTGGTGTCATCTGCATATCTGAGGTTGTTAATGTTTCTTCCAGCAATTTCACCCCAGCCTTGCATTCATCAAGCCCCGCACATCGCATGATGTGTTCTGCATACAAGTTAAAAAGGTTGGGTGAGAGGATGCAGCCTTGCCGTACGCCTTTCCCAATCTTGAACCAGTCTGTTGTTCCGTGGTCAGTTCTGACTGTTGCTACTTGGTCCTTGTACAGATTCCTCAGGAGAGAGACAAAGTGGCTTGGGATGCCCATCCCACCAAGAACTTGCCACAATTTATTATGATCCACACAGTCAAAGGCTTTAGAATAGTCAATGAAGCAGAAATAGATGTTTTTCTGAAACTCCCTGCCTTTCTCCATTATCCAGCGGATATTGGCAATCTGGTCTCTCGTTCCTCTGCCTTTTCTAAACCCAGCTTGAACATCTGGCAACTCTCGCTCCATGTATTGCTGGAGTCTTCCTTTCAGGATCTTGAGCATTACCTTACTGGCATGAGAAATAAGGGCCACTGTACGGAAGTTTGAGCAGTCTTTCGCATTTCCCTTTTTTGGTATGGGGATATAAGTTGATTTTTTCCAGTCTGATGGCCATTCTTGTGTTTTCCATATTTGCTGGCAAATGGCATGCATCACCTTGACAGCATCATCTTTTAAGATTTTAAACAGTTCAGCTGGGATCCCGTCGTCTCCTTCTGCCTTGTTGTTAGCAATGCTTCTTAAGGCCCATTCAACCTCACTCCTCAGGATGTCTGGTTCTAATTCATTCACCACACCGTCAAACTATCCTCAATATTATTATCCTTCCTATACAGATCTTCTGTATAGTCTCGCCACCTTCTCTTGATCTCTTCAGCTTCTGTTAGGTCCCTGCCATCTTTGTTTCTTATCATACCAATTTTTGCCTGAAATTTACCTCCAATTTTTCTAATTTTCTGGAAGAGGTCTCTTGTCCTTCCTATTCTGTTGTCTTCTTCCACTTCCATGCATTGCTTATTTAAAAATAGTTCCTTATCTCTTCTGGCTAACCTCTGGAATTGTGCATTTAACTGGGCATATCTCCCCTTATCCCTGTTTCCTTTTGCTTTCCTCCTTTCTTGGGCTACTTCCAGTGTCTCAGCAGACAACCATTTTGCCTTCTTGGTTTTCTTTTTCTTTGGGACGTACTTTGTTGCCGCCTCCTGAACAATGTCTCGGACTTCTGTCCATAGTTCTTCTGGGACTCTGTTTACTAAATCTAGTCCTTCAAATCTGTTCTTCACTTCCACTGTATATTCGCTAGGAATGTTAGTGAGATCATATCTACCTGGTCTGTGTATTTTCCCTGATCTCTTTAGTTTTATTCTAAATTGAGCAATAAGAAGTTCGTGATCTGCTACAGTCAATCCCAGGTCTTGTTTTCACCAACTGAATGGATGTCCGCCACCTTTGACTGCAAAGGATGTAGTCATTCTGATTTCGATGTTGACCATCTGGTGGAGTCTATGGATAAAGCCGTCTTTTAGGTTGTTGGAAGAGAGTATTCATTATACACAGCAAGTTTTCCTGGCAAAATTCTATCAGCCTGCGTCCCGCTTCATTTTGTTCTCCCAGACCATGCTTGCCTGTGATCCCTGTTGTCATTTGACTTCCCACCTTGGCATTCCAGTCTCCTGTAATGAAAATGTCTCTTTTTGGTGTATTATCCAGTAGGTCCTGCAGATCCTCATAGAACTGATCTACTTCTGCTTCTTCAGCAGCTGTGGTTGGGGCGTATATTTGGATCACTGTAATGTTGAAAGGCTTTCCTTGCACTCGAATTGAGATCATTCTGTCCAGAGTCCTATTACAGCATTAAAACATTGCACTCGAATTGAGATCATTCTGTCATTTTTTGGGTTTTATCCAAGCACCGCTTTAGCGAATTTCTTATTAATTATGAAGGCTACTCCATTTCTTCGATGTTCCTCTTGTCCGCAGTAGTAGATCTGGTGGTCATCTGATGTGAAGTGGCCCATTCCAGTCCATTTCAGTTCGCTGACCCCCAGAATGTCTATCTTTAGTCTTGACATCTCGCCAATAACAACATCCAATTTGCCCTGGCTCATAGATCTTACATTCCAGGTTCCTATGGTGTGTTGATCTTTAGAGCATCGGATTCGTCGTTCACCTCCAGTACTGTCGGCCGCTAGCCTTCCTTTCAGCTTTGAGCTAGCTGCGTCATCACATCTGGGGCTAGTTGAACTTATCCTCTGCTCCTCCCCAGTAGCATTTTGGCCATCTTCCGACCTGGGAGTCCCATCTTCCAATGGCATACCGACATATCTCTGGTTGTACTGGTCCATTTAGTTTTCTTGGCAAGGATACTGGAGTGGTTTGCCATTGCCTTCCCCAGGGATCACGCTTGGTCTGACCTCTCTGCCACAACCGTCCCGTCTTGGGTGGCCCTTCACGGTTTCGCTCATGACATCATTGAGGTGCTCAAGCTCCAGCGCCCCGACAAGGCGGTGATCCTTTGCTGGAGACTTAATCTAGTTATATACATTTTTTTCTCCACCTCCTCACAATGCAACCACCCTTTGGACAGCCTATAATGCAAGCCTGAACACCACAGGCTGAGAGCCTTGTCCTTACCAGGTCGGAAGTTTGCATTGGATGAGCCAGGGACCCACAGTGAGGAAATAAAATGCACACTCTCTGTGTGTGGAGGGGCTTAAACTGAAGCCAGGTCAGAGAGGAGGAGGAAGAGAGGGGGCTCTTTGGGTAACCCCTTCAAGTGAAAGGTGGTGGCAGTATTTCGAGAGCCAGAGAGGGGAGTGCACACATGGCCACAAGGGGGGGCAGTGCATGAGATGGAATTGGTTTGCGCATCCCCTTCATCAACTGCCACTGAGGAGAAGGAGGGAGGTAGTGGCAGCTGAGAAGGAGGAAGAGAAGGAAGGAAGCAGAGGAGGAGACCTTCCTTTCCCTCCTCAGCCAGCCCCCAGTTCTTGAAGGAAAATACATGTTTTGCTATTTACAAAAAAAAAAGTCTTATTTAAAAGAATAACAAAAATTGCTGTGGTTTTTGGGGGGCTGGAGTGGATTAATAGCATTTCAATCATTTCAATTGGGAAATCGGATTTGACACAAGCAAATTGTGTTACGAACTTGGTCACAGACCAAATTAAACTTGTATATCAAGATATTACTGTGTGTGCTGGCTATTTATTTGATTTCCTGTTTGGTGAATTCTCCCTTTTCTTATTATGATCCCTTTAAATCTTAGCTCAGTTGAAAGTTCATTAGACATCTGTTCTGGTTTCTTTAGACATCTTTTATTTTTCCTTCACAATTGAACTGTTTGAAATTGCTTTTCCAGCATCTTACTTTTTAAATCTTTTTAGTAGTTCTTGCCAAGGGATTGCTGTCACCTTTTTTCTCCTAGGTTTATTGAACACTGAACTCTTAAAGTTTAGAATATCATCTGACTATGCTTGACTTACCTTTTCTGCTGTATAACAACCTTTAGAACAATTGTTCTCCACCTGTGTGTCCCCAGGTGTTTTGGCCTACAACTCCCAGGAATCCCAGCCAATTTAATAGCTGATAGGATTTCTGGGAGTTGAAGGCCAAAACATTTGGGGACTCACAGATTGAGAACCACTGCTTTAGAAGATGTCCTTCTTCCATGACTATGTCTGACTTTCATGTGAGGAACCCATCACTTTCATCCCATTATCCAGGTCATCACTGTTGGTTAGGATTACATCTAAAATACCCTTACTACCTCTTTCACCTGTTGGACAATGAATACATAAAGATATATATGCATTGGTTGTAGTTAATAGTTTTATCTGTCTGTTTTAACTGTATTGTTTGCTGCTTTGATCCATGAGGAGAATTGAATAACAAAAATATATATGATTGTTGTTATAGTTATGATTATTTGTAGTTTATAATTTGCTTTATATGTTATTCAGTTTTAATTCTATGTATGCTTATTTAATAACAAAAAAACCCCCATGTTTTTATCCAACCTTGTTTGTTGTAACATTGGATGTCATTAACTTTCTAGAAAGCAGTTAGCAGAATCACAGAAGAATTGTGAAGAACTAACTGGAAGATTAAGGCATCAAGATATGCTTGTTGCAGCAAGTAGTTCCAATCGGGTTGGTGGCCTTTGCTTAAAATGTGCACAGCATGAAGCTGTTCTTTCCCAGACTCATTCAAATGTCCACATGCAAACCATTGAACGACTAACAAAGTAAGTAGTAAACTAGTTAGATCTGAATTAATATGATAATTAAGTAATTTGAAATTGTTTAAGTTTGTAAAAATTTGGGCATGATCTACTGTAAATTCTGCACAACCCCCTTTAAGATGAATACAAGCTGCATAAAATTGCATTATTCCAGTAACTTCAGGTAGCATTGTGCTTTGGTTGTTCACTTAAGATTTTATAAGGTTATGAATCTATGGCATCATCTTTTTGTACACCTAATGAAATTCTGACAATACTTGTTCTTTTATATGATTTCTAATATATATAATATAATATAAAAAGACTTCTAATAGCATCATCATTATAGGTTCTTCTTGCCTTGCACAGATTCCCAACTTCTCTGGCTATTCAAAAATGAACATTCACAGTCACTACCAACTTCTTAATTTATGACATTTCAAAGGTCCTCATATTAAAATAATGAGTATTCTTGAACCTTGTAGTAGAATCATGGCTGCTATGGAGATTTAATAGAACTTAACGATAAATGTCCTTCTTTTAAAATGCTACAGCTTATGTTAAATCTGATAATCCAATATGAAATCAATTTGTTACCATTGGTGTAATAATTTATCTTTGTTTGACTTTGAGTTTGTTTTATCATGTGTTGTGTTGAGGTGCTATCCAACTTAAATGAATGGTGGCATGATACTGCTTGTTTGCTGTGGTTCAGTGATAACATTTATTTATTTATTTATTTATTTATTTATTTATTTATTTACCATATTTATACCCCGCCCTTGTCACCTTGTAAGGGACTCAAGGCAGCTTACATATATAGGCAGCAATTTGATGCCATACGGACATACATAGTAAAATAAACATATACATTAAAACAATAATTAAAAACGTATCAAACCTTAAAACCACTTATTTAGAATCACGTAATCCAATACCACAGCCAGAGGTCATTCCAGGTTGTCATTGCACTAATCCATATTCTCTTACTGCACTGGTAGTTTACTAACCAAACACTTGGTCCCACATCCACATCTTTAGCCTTGTAATCAATCTTAAAATCTTATTAAACATTTTGTAATCAATCTTGAAATATTTTAAAATATCAAAATGGATGTTATTCCTGTTTAACTACTTATTTCTTTAGATTATTAATATTAATATTTTGTGCTTCTTTCTTTTCTTTCCCAGAGAGAAAGATGAATTAATAGCAGCCCTTTCTTCACTCAGAATAAATCTAGGTGAAATGCAGCGAAGAGAATGTAGTGCTTATGAACAAGTCAAACAAGCTATACACATGACTGAAGAAGCCAATTTGGAAAGAACTAAGGTAAAGAAAATGTGAAATATATACTTCTGTTTGGGATTCATGCAGCTGGTTTAGACATGGCCTCTATACACTTTTGGGGATCACCCGTGGTGCCGACATTATGTCATGCCTGCACGCTTCCTAGAGCTGACTAATACAGTGTTTTAAAATTACTCCCTAATGGACCATTTTCTTGTCAGTCATTCTCTTCTGTTTTTCCCTTGCTCACTTTTCCACCGGTCACTCCCTACTTTTTTAACCACTAGCTTATATCCTTAATAATTGTTATTAGTGACCCCTAACTTGTCCACATAAGATACAGTAAATATTTGTGCTTAGCAGAGGTACTTATATTAGAGCACAAAGGGTAGGCCAACAACTTATATGAGTATACCTTCCCTCTTCAACATTCTCTGGAGCACTTTCCAATGTCATTTTGTTGTTCAGTCATTTTCATATGTGGGTTTCGGTACTGGAATCAGGAAACATCTTCCATTTATAATTTATATTGTTCTGCAACTTACTTAGACTTCTTCCTTTTTACACATACATTCAAACACAAGATCTGTTTAATAGATTTCTCTAGAACAGCCACACAACATTTGTTTTATTAAATAGCACTGTCACCTGTACCTGAATAAAAGAACATCTGTAAATACTACTTATTTTTGCTGTCACAGCTCAGTGTTGTGTTTCCCTGATGTTTGCAGTTAGGCAATTAGTCTTTCATTAACATTGCGGTGTACCTCCCATAGTTTCAGTGCTGTGTGAACAATGTTTACACTGATTTTCTGATTCATGATTTGATTCAGTGGCTTGTTTAAAAGTTCTGTTTCATTGTCTTGATAACTAGTGCCCTCTGCTGTATCATTTGTAAATTACCTCTAATTTCAAAAATGTTTTTACTCTCTATAAAAGACAAATTTACATTATTGAATTAAATGTGGTGTAAAAAGAAGTCTGACGACCACAGTTTTAGGGCTGGAGTGCAAATTGCATTTATTTCTCCTACAACTAGCAGCAGTCTCAGCCATCTGAGCTTTCATTCTTCTGTTGTCAGGGGAAAAAAAAAAGGATTTGTGACATTTTTTAAAAAACTAGCAATTTTAATAGCTGGGTTATTCTTTGATAGATGTGCCACAAGATCCTTTGTTGTTTTCACCAGCTGAAATATGTTAAAGTTTTTAAAAATAAGATTACACAAAAACAAAATGTTATTGGTTAAGGATATATTACATGCCTCCACTTTCCCCCTGAAAACACACTTCCAAAACTATTGTTTACCACCAAACCCTCTAATAACAGCAGAACTCTTCAGGCATTTGAAGCAGAGATTCAAAACTTCTGGGCTTAAAACTGCAATGCCTACCAAAGGAGGAAGAGAAACAAATCAAGGCAACATTAATATCCCGGAACTATTCACTACAAGTCAGACCAAAAGCACAAAATAACAGAACACCTCTAGTTGTCATCTACAATTTCCAGCAAATACCATTCAAACACATTGTTAATGAGATGCAACCAATTCTGGAGAAGAACAAAACCCTCTCGCAACCTGTGGAAAGCAGGGCTTTATTGGATTAACCTTACTCATTTATGACAGAATAAATGTATGATAATAAAAAGACTGGACCCTGCCGCAAACCCTGATGTCAACTGTGTCTCCATCTCTGCTGTGGAGAAATACTACAGGTCTCAGTATCATTGAACATCTAGTAGTTCTTTCTCCAATGTGACATATGCCATCCCATGCCAACCATGCCCCCATCCCCTGCTTACATTCTACATTGGACATACAGGGCAGTTACTATGCAAGAGAATCAATGGACTCAAATCTGACATTAAAAATAGCAATACTCCAAATCCAGTTACAGAACACTCCAATCTTCCTGCACTCACAGTAAGGGAATTACATTTTGCAGTCCTCAAAATGGAATTACAATTAGAGTCAAGGAAGAAAAACAGCTGTAAAGATATCAAGGACCTTATATGATTTAAAACATTAGGATAGGGACCATGATTTGCATCTTTCTACACCCTATTACTGCCTGTCTCATTGTAAATATGTTTTATAGTTGAGGTCTGTTAATATTACTCAGTACTGCATATGAAGAAGTGGGTTATATATACAAAAGCTCATGTTAAACTCAAAGCTAGTATTTAGCTTTAAAAGTGCTGTCACATTTTTTCTTGCTCTCCCTTCTTCCTTTCTATTCTTTTTATGCTGTGTTCCTGTTTTAATTAGAATCACTAGGTCATTGTTCTTCAGTTGTTTGATGAACACCTGCAGAGAAAAGCAGGATTCCTTCAATTTAATATTGTTCGCAAGGCACATTCTTGTAGCTATGGAAAAATTGTATGTGCCAAAACTACTGCTTCTACATATGCAAACATGTGCAATGACAATTGGAATGGCTATGATGTACGATTTTTGGGTCATGTGGTTTTAATATTTATACTAGGATTATGTTAACACTTTGTCTGAACGTTTAAATTTTGTTTCTGTCTTATGTTTAATGGTTTTAATTATTTTAAGTCGTAGTTATGTGTAGTAATTAGTTATTACGATTTCTTTGTTTTACTGTATGTTAGCATTGAATTTTGTCATTAGTATGTTGTAAACTGCCTTGAGTTTTCCCCAGGGGTGAGAAAAGTAGTAAATAAATAGATAATAAATACATAGGGGTTAGAAGTTCATTTACATACCTTCTTTGATCATCCTGCTGCAACTGCATAGGAGAAGGGATAATTTTGATCCCCTTTAGTTCTTTTTTGTGGTCTCTGTCATTCACACAAGGAAGTTACCTACATCTATGCAGCACAGTCTTCTAGAAGTATGATAGTCCCCCTTTTTGGTAGTAGCCTCACCCACCTCTTGGTGCCATAACATTGTATATCTTGCCTAAATTCTCTGTTTCTTTTTCTCTTATTAGCATCTTAGGAACCCTTCAGAGTTTGTTTATCAGCTCTTTCTGGTGATTTGTCTTGATTTGTTCTCTTGGGTTTTCAGTCACTGTTTCTCCTTTTTGGTAATGATTTGAATTCTCAATTATCGTGGGGTAGTAAATCAGTCTGTGGACATCCCTTCCCCACTTTGCCCATTGCTATGCTTAGCTAATGTTTAATACAATCAGAATTCTTATAATCTTCATCGAGAAACATTGGTTTTCATTAGTGTTTTCCTAACGGAATGAAATCTTGAAAAACCTGGCAACCAAGTTAGCACTACATTTACCAATGAAGTTGTCCTCCATATCTGCAGGTTTAGCTTTTGCAGAATCTGTAAAATCTTCATTTTCATTGTAGTTTTTTGATGCACATACTGAAAAACCATTAAGGAAAGATTATAGTGTTATCTTTCTGGGTATATAACTCAGGACTGACCTCAATTTTACTGGTGATCTAACTTCATGTGGATGTAACAGTGAATAATTCTTTCTAATCATCAATGTATTATTATCATTACTGTCTCCAAAGGCTCTTGTTCAGTGTGAACAACTTAAAAATGAGATGGAGAGACAAAGAAATCGTCTTGAAAGGGAGTTAGCAATCCAACTAGATAAGAGGGCTCAAGAGCGAGAAACCGTTCGTGAAGAAATGAAGAAAGAAAAAGAAAATTTGTCGTCCATGGTATTTTAATATTTTCTATATACAGTTGTTTTCTGTCCTATTCTTTTTAAAGCATTCAACTTTTGCATCTTTCTTTAGCTCTCTGTGAAGCATCTTCCATATTTAACTATTTTAAGAGCTAGCTACTTGTCCTGTGGTCTAAAACAGCATATTTCTTTTTATCAGAGTGAATGCAGTGCCATCATAACTCTTATTTGAGGCTTCCTCTTCTTTTCTAAATCAAAACTTCCATTTAGTAAGAGAGCTTTGCCTTTTAAGGGTCTGAAAGCAGAATACATTTTGGGAAGTTAATTACCTCGAGTTTTTCCCCTGTTGTTTGCTTCCTTATTAATTGTGCTTTCGCTTTGTTTAAGGTGTTGTCTTTATCTCAGAATGTGGCTGGTCTGGAAGTTCAGATTGACAAGGTTACCAGGGAGAAGATATCCTTAGCAAGTCAACTGGAGGATGCTCAGAATCAAAATGCTTCTCATGATATTGAGATTAATAAGGTAGAAGCACTTCTTGAAAATACAAAATAGTCCATTTTCAGTAGACATGAAAACATGATAGCTTTGTCATTGTTTTATGTCTTAATAATCTATACTTCAGTGAATTAAAGAGTAATGAATGGCCCTTTCCCTACTTTATTTGTACTTTGCATTTTATTTTTAAATGTTTACTTTTGAAGAGGGATTATCTTGAAATGAAGGTATAAAGCATTTTAAATAAAAATAGCATTACCTTTCTGTGGTGGTTGGATGTGTTTCCAGTGAGTCTAGAAGCTATGTTGATAGTAGCAGGGTTGCTGTTAGGGTTTCTCATGACAGAGAGGCTTTTACTGAGGAGCCAGACTAAATGTAGCAAATAGCTACTGGGAATTTGACACTAGTGGAGGATCTCAATAGCACCATAGCAGCCACTTCTCAGTACTGTGCAAACGTAAGCCCTTTTTGAGTGTCTGCGAAAACCCTATGATGAGACCATGATGAGACCAAAATGAAACAAGAAGATGACATTCACTGGTGAGAAGGCACTCAGTCATTCTAAAAACAATATTTATCTGTTGACATGCTCAGAAGTCAAATGAAAATTCAAAGCTGTACGACACATAGGAATACGGAAAATAGGAAGTTACACATGTATCAGTGAAAGTTACACATAGCAATATATATTTATTACTATATGTAGATGAGTTAACTACAATGAACAGAATGACATATTTTGAGTCAAAAAGTTACCAAGTGTTGTGCTCAGGGAATGAAAACCTAGAGGAAAATGTGGCATTAATAATGAAATGTAGCAGACACAGTCAAAGAGTGCAATGCCAGATAAAACCTAGAAAAGTTTGCTGAAATTGCTTAGTTTACCCAACTTTTAAAATAATAGGAGCTATCTCCAGTGTTCACTCTGGCAACTTTAGTGTGCATGCATGAACTCCCTCTTTCATTCTTATTTATTTATTTATTTATTTCATATGCTTCTATCCCGCCCTTCTCCCCACAAGGGGACTCAGGGCGGCCTCACACAGGCATCAGCGATGCTTACAACGTATATATCATAAGAATGGCAGTTAAAACAGTAAAAACATTTTTAAAAATTGTACAAATTGTCCAATAAATTCATTTAACAATAATCCTAACATTCCAGTAGAAACCAAAAATCAAGCCGGGAAATCCAATATCGCAAACCCCAAATTCCTTTCCTATTGTCATTACCTAGTCAAATGCCTGGCCCCAGAGCCAGATCTTCAGTTGTCTTCTAAAGGACAGGAGGGAGGTGGCCAACCTGATATCCTTAGGGAGGGAGTTCCACAGACAGGGGGCCACTGCCAAGAAGGCCCTGTCTCTTGTCCCCACCAACCACATTTGCAAGAGTAGTGGGATCAAAAACAGAGCCTCTCCTGACAATCTTAAGCTTTATGATGGTTCATAGCTTCGTGATGGTACATATTCTTATGCTTAGAATAAATCAGACTGAATAAGTAAGAAGTCACCTGTTCTGTCTATACTGAAAAATAGTGAATTCTAGTACAGGTTGAGCATCCCAAAATTCAAATTATTCCAAAATTATGAAATGGGAGGCTGAGATAGTGACTCCTTTTCTTTCAGATAGTCACTTTGTTTCATGTATAAATGTATTTAAAATATTGTGTATAAAATTGCATTAAGGCTATATATGTAACATGTATAGAATCATAGAATCAGGGAGTTGGAAGAGACCTTGTGTGCCATCCAGTCCAACCCCTGCCAAGTGGCAGGAAAATTGCATTCAAAGCACCCTTGACAGATGGCCATCCAGCCTCTGCTTAAAAGCCTCCAAAGATGGAGCCTCCATGTATAAATATGTGAGGCAGAGAGTTCCACTGCTGAACAGCTCTCACAGTAAGGAAGTTCTTCCTAATCTTCAGGTGGAATCACCTTTCCTGTAGTTTGAAGCCATTGTTCCACGTCTTCTCCAGGGCAGCCAAAAACAAACTGGCTCCCTCCTCCCTATGACTTCACCTCACATATTTATACATGATCATCATGTCTCCTCTCAGCATTCTCTTCCGCAGGCTAAATATGCCCAGCTCTTTAAGCTGCTCCTCATAGGGCTTGTTCTTCAGACCCCTGATCATTTTTGTTGGCTTCCTCTGGACACATTCCAGATTTATTTGTATGCTTATATTGTCAACATCTCCCTTAAATTGCGGTGCATAAATAATTTTTATGTTTAGAATTAGGTCCCATCTCCAAGATAGCTTCTGTGTGTATTGGGGGGGGGGGGGGGGGGGGGGGGAGATCCAAATATTATTATTATTATTATTATTATTATTATTAAACTTTATTTGTACCCCGCTAGCATCTCCCGAAGGACTCGATGCGGCTTACAAAGGCCAAGTCAACACAACAGCAGTAAACAACAACAATACAAAAGAGAGCAAATTAAAAACATAAGCAAATACAGATATATCAAATTCTGGAAAAAATTCCAAAACTCCAAACTTTTTGGTCCCCAGCATTTTGAATAAGGGATTCTCAAACTGTAATGGCTGTTACAGGCAGAAGCCAAACTATTTACTCATACAACTTGTTAGAAAAATCAAGTTACTTTCCAGCTCTGGGGCAAAACCTAGGAGAAAGCAACAGCTAAGAAGGCAATTGGTGCCTGTAAACAATTGCAAACGGGAGAAGTAATTTGAATAAGAAATGTGGGTTCTTATAGTCTGGAGCACTGTGACTACTCTGAAAATCTGGGTGTAAAAAATACAGCACTACAATTTGAAAGCAAGCATGGTGCAGTGGTTTGGGTATTAGATTAAAAGACTGGGAGATCAGGATTGAAATCACGTATTGAACAATGGAAGCCCAATGTATTGTCGAAGGCTTTCATGGTTTCATAACTCTTCCGAAAAGTCATAAGTCAATGTATTGTCGAAGGCTTTCATGGCTGGAATCACTAGGTTCTTGTGGGTTTTTTCGGGCTATAGAGCCATGTTCTAGAGGCATTTCTCCTGACGTTTCGCCTGCATCTATGGCAAGTATCCTCAGAGGTTGTGAGGTCTGTTGGAAGTAGGAAAAATGGGTTTATATATCTGTGGAATGGCTGGGGTGGGGCAAGGAGCTCTTCCCTGCTGCAGTTAGGTGTGAATGTTTAGCTGATCACCTTCATTAGCATTTGAAGGCCTGCCTGAGTCTGGGAAAATCTGTTGCTGGGAGGTGTTAATCTGTGCCTGGTTTTTTCCTCTCTGTTGTTTCGCTGTTATAATTTTAGAGTTTTTTAATACTGGTAGCCAGATTTTGTTCATTTTCATGGTCTCTTCCTTTCTGTTGAAATTGTCCACATGCTTGTGGATTTCAATGGCTTCTCTGTGTAGTCTGACATGGTGGTTGTTGGAGTGGTCCAGCATTTCTGTGTTCTCAAATAATATGCTGTGTCCAGGCTGGTTCATCAGGTGCTCTGCTATGGCTGACTTCTCTGGTTGAAGTAGTCTGCAGTGCCTTTCATGTTCCTTGATTCGTGTTTGGGCGCTGTTTGGTGGTCCCTATGTAGACTTGTCCACAGCTGCATGGTATACGGTAGACTCCTGCAGAGGTGAGAGGATCCCTCTTGTCCTTTGCTGAACGTAGCATTTGTTGGATTTTCTTGGTGGGTTTGTAGATTGTTTGTATGTTGTGTTTCCTCATCAGCTTCCCTATGCGATCAGTGGTTCCCTTGATGTATGGCAGGAACACTTTTCCTCTGGGTGGATCTTCATCTTTACTCTCGTGGCTTGTTCTTGGTCTTGCAGCTCTTCTGATGTCTGAGGTTGAGTATCCATTGGCCTGGAGAGCCCAGTTGAGGTGGTTCAGTTCATCTTGGAGGAGGTGGGGTTCGCAGATTCTTTTTGCACGGTCTGCCAAGGCTTTAATGGTGCTTCTTTTTTGACTTGGGTGATGGTTGGAGTTTTTATGTAGATATCTATCTGTGTGTGGGTTTTTTTTCCCCTGTAAACGGTGTGACCCAATTGTTGATCTGGTTTGTGGATGACTAGGACATCTAGAAATGGCAGTCTTCCTTCATTTTCTTTTTCCATGGTGAACTGGATGTTTGGGTGGATGCTGTTAAGGTGGTCCAGGAACCTGTTGAGTTCTTCTTCTCCATGGCTCCAAATGGTGAAGGTGTCATCAACATATCTGAACCATATTGTGGGCTTTTTTGGTTGCTGTTTCCAGGGCTTGTTTTTCAAAGTGTTCCATGTAGAAATTAGCTATGACCAGGCTGAGAGGGCTCCCCATGGCTACTCCATATTTCTGTTCGCAGAACCCATTGTCCCACTGGAAGGAGCTGGTGGTGAGGCCATGGTGGAACAGAGCCGTGATGTCTTCTGGGAACCTCTGGTTGATGAGTGCCATGGTGTCTGCTACCGGGACCATGGTAAATAGAGATACCACATCGAAGCTGATCAGTTTGTCGTTTGTATTTAGCTTGAGATTGCTGATTTTTTCTATGAAGTGGGCTGAGTCCTTGATGTAGTGTGTAGTGAGCCCAATATGGCTTTGTAACTGTGCAGCAAGAAATTTTGCTAGGTCGTATGTGGGGGATCCAATGGCACTCACGATGGGTCTGAGTGGGGTGGAGTCCTTATGGATTTTTGGGAGTCCATAAAGTCTGGGTGGATGGGCTTCCGATTTACATAGCTGTTGTCGTATGTCAAAGTTTATGGAGGAGTTCTTAATCAGGGTGTTGGTTTTCTTGGTTATTTTGGCAGTTGGGTCTTGCTTGAGTTTTTTGTATATAGTAGGGTCCAGGAGTTTTCTGATCTTCTCCTTGTATTGTTCTGTATGCATGATAACTGTGGCATTCCCCTTGTCTGCTGGCATAACGAGGATATCCGGATCTGAATTCAGTTCTCTGATGGCTTGTCTTTCCTTCCTAGTAATGTTACTGGAGAGAAGTTTTGCCTTTTTCAGGATCCTTGCTGTTTCTGCTCGTACTTCTTCTGCTTCCTCCTGGAATGGAAGCCCAGTTCCCATGGACAAGTCACACACTCTCTCAGACACAAAGGTTCCCCTTCATTTAAAAAATCTACCAACAAAACTATTATTAGAGATTGTTCTTAGGGGCTCCATAAATCAGAAATGGCTCAAAAGTACAAAACCAAAAAAGTAAACATGTATCTATAGAAGATAGCCACTAGAGGTCATCAAAAGCCCTCCTTCTAAATAAATATTGTCTATGATTCCTGAAACGGCAGGCTCTTGTGTATTCAATCTAACAGGTGTGTGGTGAAATACGTTACCAATTGAATCAGACCAAAATGAAGAAGGAAGAGGTAGAAAAAGAACACAGAGAATTTAGAACCAAAACTATGAGAGAACTTGAAATTAAAGACCAGGTAAGCGAGAACACTGTAATCAACTGTCATTAAACATTTTAGTGTTTTCCTTCTTCCAGTTGTGACAAGAACTGTTTTCAGTTCAAAATGAAAAGAATGAATGTCAAGCAACTTATTACTTTATTATTAATTTTATTAATTTATTAATAAAATATTTTATTTTTCAGAGTTGCTGTTATTACTAGAAAAACATATAAATTACTATATAATATCTAATATTGCATGTCATGCATAAAATATATTGTGGGTTAATGTGTAATATACATATGTTACTCTTTTGTGTTTATTATGAGAAAAATGAAGGGCATATTAAGCACTAAGTAGAGTACTGTGTTTATAAACAGTAGAGTACTTTATTTATAAACATGGAAGGCTGTCTATTCCTTTAAAAGGTTATTTAAAAACATAACATTAAGAATTCATGAATTAACACGTGATGCTATTGCTTATAATTTGGAAGTGTCATATAGACATAGACATTTCTCTGTGACTACTGAGTAAAAGTCACTATGTTAATCAGCATTTCATATTGAAAAAAATCAAAGCAGAGTTAGGAAAGAGATGAAATGAATTTTTGAACTGAATCCTATGAAGATTGTTTACATTTTGCCTGTTTACTTGTTTCATTTTGCTTGTTCAGATTTGCACAGGCCATGCTGCACAAGTGTATAGTAAAACATGTTTTTATTTGAAGGAAACAAACTTTTTGTGATATTTATACTGTTGTGAACTATTGTAGTTGTATAAATTAGTGTTAGACAAAATATTAACCTTAATATGTTTTATGGAGTTTATGGAGGAACTGCTGCAAAGATATCCCCCTTAAGGCCCTAAATATTTAACATGGATTATGGTATCTAGTTCTGTCTATTCCTTAATGAAAAATAATTCCACTTTCATGGGACAGGCCACTTCATTTTCCTGGATATTCCTCATCTTTGCATTGCATCCATTCTATTCTACAGAATCCCCTGCATAGCTTTTGAGGGAGAATTTAAGAGAAGCGGGGAGTTAATGAAAATAGTGTTCCAAACCCCTGGAGTTCAGAAGTTCTTGCTACCTAGGCTATGCTGTGGCAAACCCACTTTTTCCGAAGCCCTGATAAGACTTGCTATTACAGCTATAAAAATGTACTGCTACACAGTATGCTGAGAAATATGGACAAAATTACTTTGAAAGACCAATAAATATTTGTATGAACTTTTATGGTTGAGGGCAGAGTTATATAATAATAATAATAATAATAATAATAATAATAATAATAATAATAATAAACAACTTTATTTATAACCCGCCCTATCTCCCCTTGGGACTCAGGGGGGTTTCCAAACAAAAGTGGCAAACATTCAATGCCATAATAATGAAAAAAACACACCAAATCGATACAATACATAAAACAACTTTAGTAAAAACTTATAAAGAGTTCTTCCTCTTTTGTTAAATCAGATGTTTTATTGCTGGAAATTGGGGTTTGGCTAGCTTTGAAAATTGCCAGGATGTTTTGTTCAAAGCATGTCTATGTCTTCAGATACCTCTCTGTTTTGTGTGCTGAAAGCAGTGCACAGCAAAGTGAGAATGTTCTCCTTCTATTTATAGCTATTTTAAGACAGGTAGAGTTTATCTTTTACTTGGAGAACACCTTTATCTGTGTGCCAGAAATGAATTTGCTGTGCAGAAACATTTCTGGAATTTGAGTCTGAGGATAGTAATGATTACAGAAGTGGTTCATAATTCATTGTAAAGCACATATTTTCGGTGCAAAAGGGCTCAAAATGTTCTACATATGAAGCCCAGAAAAATCACTGTCAGTTGGTTTAAATGGCTTGCAGCCATCTAATGTTGTCCTGATGTGTTGAATACGAACTCCCGTCATTCCCAAGTAACATCGCCAGTACAGTACAGTCTAAGATTAGGCTTGGTGTATTTAATCAATTTGGATAAGGTTTTCGTGTAATAGTGTGAAGATGAACATTACCAAGCAGTTTTCTCCATATCCTCATGCCGATTCCATTGAAATATCAAGGCTTGACAATGTCCTAGCCACTTTATTTGGAACTGATGGTATCAAGGTCAGAGAAAATAGAAGAAATTTTACTCTCCAAGTGCCTTGGAAATTTATCATAACAGAGCTCAGAATTCCAGTACATAATTTTTGGGCAAAGGTGGAAAAAGTTTCCAAGGGCTGTACCTGGCCCTTATACCTCTCTAGCCTTTTAAAAAATGGCTGGAAAATGCCCTCAATATTGGGGAGGACTATTTTCAAGCCCCAGAAGATGCAAAAGGTGAAATAGTGTTAACATTTATTTATTTAAAACTTTTATATCCTCATCTTCTCTACCTCCGTAGAGGGACTCAGACCAGCTAACAGCAGGTATTCAATGCTCACAAACAAACCTTTAAAACATAATATATAAACAATAAGTTAAAAATACACATCAGATAAAAAACATAATAAAGTATTCACCAGGATAAAAACAATGTTCAACTCAGTCCACACGTTGTGGTCAGTACCTTAGTCTATTACCGGTCTCAGCCATCACTCTGCAAATGCCTTGCTCCACTGCCAAGACTTAACTTGCTTTCTAAAGGTCAGGAGGGAGAGGGCATATCTAATTTCATTCGGAAGAGAGTTCAATAGCTGGGGAGCCACCACAGAAAAGGCCTTGTCTCTCATCCCCTCCAAATGTGACTGCAAAGGCCATGGGACTGAGAGCAGGGCCTCTCCGGCAGATCTTAACACCCTTGATGTTTCGTAGGGGAGAATACGTTCGGACAGGATGTTTCAAAAAGATGGACCCGGTTTGACATCACTATATCTCTGCAACCACAAATCACTAATGAATCAAACTCTTACCACTTGAAAGAATGGGGCATACAGTTTGAAATTATTTCTGCTTAAAGGCCTCTTCCACTGCCTCAGCCATTTGCAAAATGGCGACCCCGCAACATAAAAAACAAACATTACAGGTAGCTGTGTTTCTTCTTAAATCTAATTCGCTTTGTTATTCTCTCCCCATCCCTGACAATGCATGGTTATAACTTGTAATGCATTTTCTAAGAAATAGCCACAGCCACGTGCCAACACTGAAAAGATCTTTTGCTTAGTAGTTCCTGCTGTGTCTTGGTGACAAGGATCATGACTTCAGAATGTGGTTAGATAATAGGAATATAGGCATTTCATCATATGTCTTGACCACAAGCATTGAAAGACTTTAAAAATAAACTTTAGTACTTTGAATTGGGCTTGGAAATGGATATAAGCCTATTCCAGATCGTTCTTGTGCTTTCAGCAGCAGAGCTGTATTTAAAAGCCTCCTAAATAGCAAAATTGTAGTCATGATGGTGGGGTAATCACAACCAGGGCAGGTTATTTATCACAGACTTAAATAGATGAAAGGCCTATCAAGAGCACACTCATTCTCCTGGTTACATTTTAAATTTATTGGTCTTCACCTGTTCCATTAGTCAGTCCTGGTAATTTGGCACTTCTGCTTCCTGAATTGAATTCAGGTAATGTGTTGTAGGCTTAAGTCTGCATCTCGAGATGAAAGACATTTAAATGAGTGTTAAAAGAATGAAACAAGTGAGAATGGAATAACTGTAACATATGACGCTCCCAGTTCTCAGTATGGCAACCTGTCCAAAATGATTTAGTGGATGGATAAGAGATTAAGTTAGCGTGATCATCCAATAAAATGATCAAGGGAATCTCTGCTAGCTTCAAGTATAGTTCCAGGAATGGTGTTGTACCTATTTGCTCAAACACCTTTTACAGAAAATAACTGGCTCTAAGTTTTCTTGGTGTTCTTGATTTAGAAAGGTCATATAGCTGCCTCTTTCAAAATACCTGACAGGAGTTCCTCCTAAAATGAGATAGTCATCACCTCCAAGATCCAATTGTTCAGGTTTCCTGCTTATTTATTATTAAAGGTAAAGGTTGTCCCCTGACATTAAGTCCAGTCATGTCTGACTCTGGGGTGTGGTGCTCATCTCAATTTCTGAGCCGAAGAGCCGGCGTTGTCCATAGACACCTCCAAGGTCAGGTGGCCGGCATGATTGCATGGAGCGCCGTTACCTTCCCGCCGGAGCGGTACCTATTGATCTACTCACGTTTGCATTTTTTTCAAACTGCTAGGTTGGCAGAAGCTGGGGCTGACAGTGGAAGCTCATGCCGCTCCCCGGAATTGAAGCTGGGACCTTTCAGTCAACAAGCTCAGCAGCTCAGTGCTTTAACCCACTGTGCCACCGGAGGCTCCCTATTTATTATTATTTACAGTATTTATATAATGCTTTTCTCACCCCTAGGGGGACTCAAAGAATGGAAAATACCAGTAGTAAGCAACACTTATCCAAGAGGCTTATCCATGTCTTCAAGCTGAAATGAATCCAATTTGACTAGACAGCTTAATGTACCAACATTTCTAGCTGTAGACAATAGAGTCATAGTGGAAGATCCTAAAATTCCTAGACAGATGTTTTCTCAAGTAATTAAAAAAATATTTACAGTTTTTAACATTCACAGTGGTCCAGTGCCCCTAACACCATCAAATATGTGGAGGGCTGACTGTAATTTAGTATTGTAAATGTTCACATGTAAGTAATAATGTCTAGGATGCTTGCTTATTAGAAATAATTTTGTATCCCTGTTTAGGAATGTGGCAAACACAACACAAAAGACAACACAAACTTTTATTTCTCTGATCTGGACCTAATGTACAATGAAATTTGCATTCTGCTTCTACTGCTCCCCAGCCTCTCTGCCAGCCCCATAAGAAGCCTTTCTTGATAAAGGGTAGAGGAATGACAGGCAAGATCATTCAAGAAGTTAGACCCTACAGTGCCTCTCTGTGACTACTCATGATGTTCTGTACATCAATCCACTCCAGGAAAAATAAGGATTCACACCCAGACTAAAAGTCTCTATCTTAAGCAAGATAGTAGAGATAGAAAGGTGAAGGGGAAACCAGATTTTAGTGTTATATGTTTGTTTGTTTATTTATTTAGAATATTTATATCCCATTCTTCTAAACCTGCAAAGATGGACTCATGATAGTGTACCCAGTCTTTTTCCTTTGCTAAGAAAAGAAGCATTTAAATCTTAGGGAAAATCATAAATTCATCTTTAAGACATTGTACCTGCACTGAGGTCATTAAGCTCACATTCAGTTTTATGGTGTTAAAAAATGAGACAATGTCTATTCCAACCTCCTCCCCACATGCTCTAACTTGCCTCATAATCAATTAGGTAATGTTCAAAACCAACTTGTTATTCCTAACTATTGCTGTAACTTATAAAGTTTAATGTTTAATTTCCCAAAATAGTATATTTTGATTGGGAGATATCCAAGATAAAATTAAAAACTGCCATTCCCTACTGAATTTGACCTGCAAGTATGATGTTATATGAAGTACATATTCAATTCTTTCGCATTAAAATCTGTGAGGTTAGACATATTTTTTATGGTTCATGTTCTTTGTGGTAGTCACAGAATGAATGACAACAACAAAAAACTTTCATTTGTGATCGTTATTTCAGTTATTTTTGTCTTCCTTCAGGTCTTGGTTTTATCCTATGCAATTATATTAGGTGCTTAAATGTTCCTAGATTAACCTCATGGGGTGGCTCCAACAAATAATCCTATTTCTTGAAATGCATTTTAAAGTATTTAATATGAGTAACCAGCATTTGTTCCCAGTGATACTATGTACAATAACCTATTTGTGCCTATTGCCTATAGTTGGGATCTTTCCTTCTAGGAAATTCGCCAGGGATTAATGATTGATGGATTGTGAGCCACTCCTACATGTCTAAAAGATCCCCACTTTGTTTTTAATGGTAGTGCCCACTCTTTCTATGTGTGTCGAGATTACAGTATTCTTTGAACTGCTGATGCTTTGTGTTGGATAAGAGGACATATATATTACAGACATACATAATATGCTGACTTGGCAAGTGTTGGGCAATTAACAGTTGTGCACAATCTATGTTATGTAACAGTCCATAAAAGAAATATTAGCTATTTGTTAATCCATTTTGTCCTTGCTTGAAATTAGTTCGTAATTGGGCTTTCCTTTTGTTCTGTTTTTGTGTCTATTTATTGAGTGACAGTTAGTTGGTACATGTGAAATCCATTTATAAATATGAATTACCAGCTCTGGAATTGCCAGTGTAACTTTCTTGTCCCCTTGTTGCTCAACATTAGATTATTTACTAACACCTGTTTCTCACCAACTTCATCACGGTTACTCCTCATTCTGTGAGTTACCTGTAAGAATAGCAATTGCAAAATGGAAACATTATTTATGCTGAGAAGAAAATGTTAAAAGCTAATGTTTGACTTGTAGTAAACACTGGGTTATTTCTAGGTAAAAGTAATGAGATTTTTTTTAAAATGTTAAAACATTTACCTTGGATTACTTGGCTCCCAAATGACTGAGAAGCTTTTTGCCCTCTGAACACTACTAAGATTAACAGCTACAATACTGCCTGAAGTCTTTGCGCTTAAACATCTGACAGGTAGATGGAGGCCATTTTCAGCAAAAGTCCCTTCATGACAGAATTTGCTTTTTTGTTGGTCCGACAGAACCTGAGCTGATTTATCTTCAGGGGATGGAATAAAGCCCATCTGTTCACTTTATATATTTCCCTTGAGAAAACGATGGGAGCTTATATGCATGCCTATAGTGTGGAACTATGAAGATATCTTGGCATTACTTGACAGTTGTCAAATTATGTTTGCTTTTCATTTTAAACAAATACCATATATGTGTGTGCGCATGAGAGTGTTTCAGAGTCAGAGTGTCAAGGGAGAACTGGGGAAGGGGATTGAGAGCAAGCAATATCTTCAAGTGCTTTGCCCACCTACCATAGAAGGAGAACAGAGTCCTTAATGCACCCTTGACTCTTTTTTCAAAAATGAGGGGGGAGTCTAATAAAAATGTTACAAGTTAACATATACAATATTATACTTATATTTTCTGTTCATTATTGCCATGACTGGTGCATTTATTTGTATGTTTTTGTTTGTTTAACAATGGAGAATGTATAGTGCCTTGAATAAAGGGTTTTTTTTTATGTCTGTATGGATGTATTTTTCCAAAATTGAATTAAATGAATAATACAATGGACCTTTTGGCTTTGTCCCCCCCCCCCCAAAATCTTTTTTAAGTATGTTTTTGTTGTTCTAGACAGATTATAAATTGCTCCTTTTAATTCATGTTAAAAGGTACTAATGCTGTGATTTATGTAAATTGATTTTGTTAATTGATTTTGCTGTTTTCCTTTATGTATTTTTAAGGAAATAGTGAAATTAAAAGCAGAGCTGAATCAAAATAAACAACGCCTGGAACAAACACAGCAGGATATTACAGGTGCAAAGGATGAATGTCTGAAATTAACAGAATTGCTGGGAAAAGCTGAGCACCAACTGCACCTTACCAGGTAACCATTTTTCTTTTTCATCCCACTCTTGCTTACATGTTCATACTCTGATTTGTCACTACAGTTGATCCCAGAGTCATTATAAATTGACATGGGTGCTTATATAATGAGCAAAATACCTAGAGAAAATGAAATGTGCTAGCAATAAAACTACTGTAATATCCTTTCAAACAAAATGTTGAAAGTCATTGTAGTGCAAGTGTAGTCATTTAAAAGTTATATACACAAACTTGTTCTGCCATAATTTTCTGTGGGGAGGTTTGAGATTATGTACCATATAATATAATTCTATATTAATGCTTTACATTTGTTGTAATTGTATTGTAGCACTTACAATTGTATGGCTTTTGTCATTTATGATTGCTTGAAATGGTGAGTAGACTACTTCAATAAATGTATATATCTATTCGTTCTAATAGATTAAGAGGGAAATAGTTAGCAATCAGAGCTGGATACATTTATAGTTTGCAGAGAGAAATTATGATGTACAAAACCATTGTTTTTCTATTCTAAAATGTTTGCGTGATAGATTGGCAGTTACTCAAATGTTTCTAAAGTTGATGTTTTTTCTCTTAACAGCAAACCCATCACTGCTCTTCTATACATGTTCAAATGTGTAGAATACAATTATTTTTAATATGTAAAGTTAAGTGCTTAATCTGTAACATAAAGGAGTTTTTACTTGGACATCTTCAGAGACCTAAAGCCTATCTATAATAGGATAAATTTTGTATTTAAAAGTATTCCACAAAGCATTAAGGGTTGTAGTTCCAGGGAGGATGGAATATAAGTATTGGGTGGGTGTATACATTACACATGCACACACATACATACATATGCATAGACTTAAATGAATATACATGGTTAATTCAGGATGATATAGTATGTTTCTTAAGTGATCACACCATCTACTTTAAAATATATATTTATATATAGTGTAAATATAGATCATGGGATAGTAGCAGATGGGGAGAAAAACACCCTTCTCACAGCCTGCATTTAGAGAACAAATATGCTAGAGGTTAATGAACTTGAAAAAAGTTTGGGGTAAGTTGTTAAGACAGCAAAAGTTTGGATTTTTGCAGGACTTCTTTTATAATGATTTGTTGTGATAGTTAACCAAATGGTTTACCAATTTCCTTCCTAAAGCTTTTCATAAAAGTTATGAAGCGCTGTGGTGTCTTGGAGAAAATCCAAAATGTAGATAGATTTTCTGAAAAACTTCCACACTCTTCATAAGGTATACTAATTAAGTTGCGCACCCAAATGATATGTGATTCAGATTTACCAAAATTAATAATTAAATGGTATTACCTCTATATTTCATAAGCATGGTACTTTTCATTCTGCAGGATTGTGTTTGGAGTGCGTTTAACACATTTTTAGTTTTCCATCCTTATGGATTAATTTATACAATCTTACTTTTAATGGTTGTCCTACTTCTAAATAACTATCTGTAAGTTGGGGTTGTGCAATGTGATGGTGCAGAGGGCCAATTTTCCTCTCCTAACCTCTCCATGACCAGAAACCCAAATATGTACACCAAAATACCTTACTTTTTCCTTTTTCCCTCCTCAAAATGGCAGATAGAAGTGGCATAAAGCAATTCTCTGAGCAGTGAGGAACCAACCTTCCTTCCTTCCTTCCTTCCTTCCTTCCTTCCTTCCTTCCTTCCTTCCTTCCTTCCTTCCTTCCTTCCTTCCTTCCTTCCTGTGTATATTTAAAAGGAGCTTTGGGTGCAAATTTCACTCGAAAGTCTTCTTTTTTAAAAACAGGCATTTCAGAAGTCATCATTGAGTAGCGGGGGTTACAGATGCTTCAAAATTGCTATCCCTCAAAATTGTTATGTAACTGTTTCCTTATTTTCTGAAACAGTACTCTAGCATCTAAACGTGTTACTTCATCATGTTGTGGAAATGTAGAACAAGTTGTTGCTTTGCTATAGCTATAATGAATGTATGCACCTTTAAATAATTTCCAGTTTATAGTGAGTCTAAGGATGTTTCTTTGGCTTGATTTATTACCCTCCTCTGAAACTAGGAGGCTATGACTTGCCCATTCTCACTTGGTGTTTCCATGGCTGAAAAGGGATTCAAAATTTGGTTTCCCAGAATTCTAGATCAACACTCAAATTACTAGTCTGTATTGGCTCTCACAAAGAGAAAAAAGTAGTATAAAGTCCTGACAAAGAAGAAAGTAGTCACACACCTTCATATTTGGCATATATACCATATATGTATATTCATGTATATTTTGACCTAATGCAAAAGTTGAGGGCAGGATTGAGAGTCTGTTTTATGGATTTTGATATGGCCTGTGAATAAGTTCATTCCATAGATAGGGAAAAGTGGTAATACCTCCTTGGGGGGCCAGGCACTCAAAAAAGCCAAAAGTGGTGCCACATCAGAGAAAATAGATGGGGTTGACGTTTCTTTTAGATTCTCCCATGAGATTCTGGCCTCTTGCCTTTCACCACTGTACACAGAGAAGGGGTTATCTCCTTTAAAAAATAGAATAAAACTACAATACTCAAATTGACCTGTGATTAAGTCAACCCAGGATTTTTGGGTTGATTTTTTTTACTGAAATTTCTAAAATTATACATGAGGAAAATTCACAAGACATTATTACTGTGATACTGTAAGAGTATCAGAAATGAGGAGGGAACTGCCCTTAGGGAAAATAAAACATACTCCCTTACTTCAACATGTATATATGAGCCGAGGCTTGAGAGACTCACATCACAATCAGCTGAGTAATTGTAAGGGAGGTGTGTGTAAAGGATGGGGCTGGGAAGAGACTGAAAAAGTATGTGGAGAGCAGGGAAGTGGGAAGGATGAGAAAAAACTGAAAAAGTTGGCCTTTAATCTGGCTGTGATGAAGATGAAATAAAAGAGCTGTTGTGAGTATCTTGGCAAGCCTGTCTGCTTTTGTTGATGGACTATCTAACAGAGTTTTATTAACTCAAATGGCAAAGATGCTGCTTTCACCATGCAAGCCGAAACTTTTGCTATTGCTCTTCCAGGGGAAGAGGAGCACTCTGCAACACATACTATAGTGATTCCTGAGGGTGTTTGCAGATGCTTCCTTCTCGCTAAGTCCTTGTGCAGTCCTCAGTTTAGAGAGAGAGGAGAACCCATTAGAGCAGTGTTTCTCAAACTCTGCTTCTCCAGATGTTTTGGACTTTAGCTTCCACAATTCCTAGCAGTTGCTAAACTGACTGCGATTTCTGGGAGTTAAAGTCCAAAACACCTGGAGGAGCAGAGTTTGGGAAACACTGCCTTAGAGAGTTTTCAGCAGCCACTTGGAAACAACCTGTAGATCTTGGAGCTAACAGCCTGACTTCTCCCTAAGGCCCAGAAAAGAAGGGCAGGCCACAAGATCTGGGAATCCTATCAATTACATCTATACATTAGTTAATCAAATAGGCATTACACCTTTTAACAAAAAATGGTATCAGAGGTAGAACTAACATGGAAAAATAGAGATAGATTGTTACACCACAAAGAAGAACAATTTAACATCTTTCAGCAAACTTATCATAAAAAATAAGAATATATATGTATAAAATGGAAGAACCAAGTCAGATAAGTATTCTCTAATTAAACAAAAGCATTTGAATCTTCTATGCATCACTGAGAGGCTTATTAGTTGATTCATTTGGGGACGACTTTTCTTTCACTAGCTTCCATGTTTCTCACTATTTCCATTTAGATATATTCTTTTACAAACATCAAGATACATTCATTTACAAACATTATAGAGGTAATTTTGCCACCTTTCTATAAATTATATCAGCATTTATTCTCAATACTCAGGCTGAACTTTTTTCCAACTTATATTGAGCTAGACCAGAATTTCTGCCTAGTAAAATGAAGTGATTTTCCAATCTTGGCTTTTTCATGTAATTCTCATACAGATTTTCATAATTTAGCAATGAACTTGTCAATAGTTCAGAACATTTATCCCATTCAGATTATATTCATAGCTTTGCAAGACAAATTAAAGAAAGCAAATGAAAATAATTCTTATTTCAGTTCATGCCACCTAATGCAAGATGAATTGTCCCAGAAAGCAAAGAAACAGTAAATGTATTGCTTAGTGTAGATGTTGAAATTTGAACATGTAACAGAAAGGAGGAACTATTTTTGTGGGGTGGGGGCATCTATGCACAAATACAGGATGGCTAGCATGTAGCATGACAGCAATATGTGTGACAAGGATCTAGGGGTCTAAACAAGTATCAACAGTAAGTGTATGTGCATTTATGTGCCTCTCAATTTATGGCAACACATGAATTTCATAGTTTTTTAAGGCAAGGAATACTCAGAGGTGATTTTCTTTTTCTGAAATATAGCCCACAGCATCTGGTATCCATTGGTAGTTTCCCATCCAAGCATTAACCAGGACTGACCATGCTTAGTTTCCAAGATCAGTCAGGATCTAGTGCCTTTAGGGTATTCAAACCAGTTATATGTAGAATGCAGAGCTCAGGCTGCATTGTAGTAAGTAGTCTGTGGTTTGCTCTTCTCCACACTCGCATGTTATGGACTCCACTTTGTAGCCCCATTTCTGAAGACTGGCTCTGCATCTTGTGGTGCCAGAACACAGTCTGTTCACAGAAGGTGGTGCACTTTTGTTTGAGGTTTTCTAAGTGGTTGGATGGGAACATCTCTGCAATGGTTGAGCTGTCAGTTCTTGCATAGGCAGAGAGCCGATGACCCTTGAGGTCTCTTCTAACTCTGTGAATCAACTCAACTCTGCTTTAACCTTTTTGCAAGAGAAACTGTGTATATTCTGGAATAATAAGAACATACAATATAAGGAAGAACGTGAAACCCCAGGTAGATAAGGAGTTGATTTGATAACACCAAAATATTGTAAATGAGTTACATGTAGGGCTGTATTAATTATACATGATCAAGCTGTCATTCTGAAAGAGTTTATAGACATGTTTCTGCTATTGAAAAATCTAGGGTATAGATGAGATTCTGAAGATT